TCATAATATGAGAAAATATATTGTACTTTTCTCGAATATTTTCTCCTTATCCAAGTTGTTGCCAGTGATTCTTATTCTTGAAAAGAAACTGTACCAGTCTTTCTCATGACATGAAGTAGGGAATTTAAAAGTTTGTGGTGATGTTATGACACAGTTATTGACTTTTTGGTCATCATCCACCGTCCTGTTTTTAATTTAAGATAACGCTTAGGGCCCTGTCTTTGTCCTCAGGTAAAAAGTCTATTCGGTTTGGCCTAATCGATAGAACTAGTTGCCATCTCCAGATACCAGAACCAACACAAGGCATGGTATATAAAACAAACATAACAGAAAGATTTGTGGGAATTAAAGGCAAACATTTCAAAATGCCATATACGTGAGACCTTGCACCTATAGCCATGCATAAGGCTTTTTATCTGAGGACAGAAATAGAATCCAGTTCCCGAAATATTGTTTTAAATTAAAGATGGGACAGTTGATAATGTCCAAGAGTCAATACTTTTACAAAGTAGGTAGTTCATGCGTTTTAAAATTATTCTGAAACAAAAGATAATTACAAACTAATGCCAAAATTTCATATTTCTACTTTATTGCCAATTATATCCTCATTTTAGAAATTAGTTTACTCAATGAGATGCTCTTAGTCACTCATCTAGTCATTTCTTACCCTTCATGGAGTCCAAATGTTTATTGTGGTGTTCCCAGTAGTTCACCACTGATTCTTTCTTATACTAGAGAATTCTGGCCCTCATCCTCATACCGTATTTGTTTAAAGTCCATTGTAATATTGTCCTCCCATAGACATCTAGGTCTCTCTAATGGTCCTTTACAGGTAAATTTACTCCTTCTTCAGCACATTTTCATTATTCTGAATTTTGTCATGGACTAGTACAGGTGTATCAAAGCGGCCTCCGTAGTCTAGGGGTAACGTTCCCACCTCATGGCTCAAGGTACGCGGGTTCAAACGCGGCGGAGGTTGTGGAATTTTTAAGGGGGGAAAATTCAGGGAACAAGTCCTCCGGGAGGGATTTTAAGCTATGGGTCCCGTGTCATAGCTTTACGGCACGTAAAAGAACCTCATGTCTCAAGGAGACCACTGAGCCAAATTTGTAAGGACATTTCCCACCCAACAATAGTCTCTAATGCCTCTGGTAGATGGGGGGAAGCATCTAGATACCGCTGAGCCAGTAGAGGCCGAACTCGCTGGCTGAGTCGGGACTGATGGCACGCACCAATACTGGTAGGGTATAGAGACTGGTAGAATATCACAGGGGGACGTACAATAGACCACTGGTCGCGGTGCATGGGGAAACCNAGATTTTGATATAAGTAGTTTCAGCTCGTAACCATCTCAACTGGACCAAATAAAACTTACAGATGCACACACTCCATGCCTTTTTATATGGAAAGAAAAGAACATTTTGTGTTGTATAAATGTTCACAGTTTAAGAGTATGCATTCATTGTTATATAGAGCACTTCTTATGAGCAGATTTAGGTTCATTTAATGTAGCCAAGATCATTACAAATCTAGTGGCTGTGTCCCTCTATGTCCTGCTGCTGAGCATCTTACACATAGTGAGCATCATAGTGAGAAAAATTTATGTAGCAGTGAATAGATTTTAAATTGTCTCCAAGTTCAGTTCACCACCTCTTCATTGGCTTCTTTTCATGTATGGTGTCTATTTAGTACCTCTATTAATTTATGTTACTTTCTGCTACTGTAATATAATATTTGAAATTTTTGCCAACTCTACGCAAAATAAGTTTCCTGGGGAGTGAAGTGCAGCTGGTGCGTAAGGCTGACAACCTTACCACCGTCTTTGAGCCAAATGTCTAGATAATGTGGGACCCTCAAAATCTCACAACCCTATGGGCCTTCACGGCCTGGTACAGGGATAGATTTGCTTTTTTTTACTTTACTACACAGTTGTGTACTGATCTTATGCTTTGACAGTATTTTGTGATTGAGGGTTGATTCAGCACCCTAGAAATGGAGGCAGCATTTATCTCCTAAATTGCAGCAAAATACTCACAACTAGGAATGTTCAGGCAAGTGGGGAAGTTCTGAATACACAGGGAATTTTGCAAAGAACCTGGGGCACATGATCTTGCAGCCCAAATGTACAAGAGAACAGACATCATAATGGAAAGGCATGGTATGTAACTAGCGCAAGAAGAAATTGGTAGGAACTTCTTTGGAAAAGTGTGGTAAGGCAATGACCTGTGAAGCAAAGCCCTCTGATGAAATTCTTGCAAATCTATCAATTACTTTTCAGACATTAAGTCCTTAAATGTTAACACAGCCTGGGCTCTCCGACCTTTAGCAGGCACTCATCACACGTGCTTATAGACCAGCCATCATTGGCATTAACGTTGGGATTATGACATTTTAGAATTTGTCAACAGGGACAGAAATGCTTAATCACTTTAAAATTTAAGCTTTTGTGATGTTCCTTATAACTGTCCCACATCAACATGCAGACATGTAACCATTGTTGCTGCCATAGTCAGAATGACACATCAATTTTGCATATTTTATATTCAGTCACTGCTACTTTAATGCAGTGAAATGGGCATTAGTGGACCTGTACTTGTGTTTCAATTTGGCAAAATATAGGAATGGGGTTTATCACATGGCTGCAAGGATTTATAATGGACTTCCAAATACAATCAAAATAATCTCAAATAATGCAAATAAGTTTAAAGCCAGTTTAAAAGAGTTTTTATTTGTGAACTCCTTTGACACTTTGGAGGAATATTTTAATAGATGATAATGGCAACATTATGCAAAGGGTAATTTATATATTTAACTTTTTAATTTGATTTATATTACAAACATATTGACAACTGCTTGATTTATAAGCAAGATGAGTTTATACTACTGGACGATTTCTATATCTGTTGGTTGTGTAACTGTGTAAGGATTTTATGGAAAGAATGATGTGAAACTGACCAAGTAACTTCATTTTATCTGTAATAATACTTCTTATCTGATTAGTTGTCAATATTATTATCCATATTACTTATCACCATTATATTATATTGTATATTGATTACTGTGATATTGTGTAAACTTTTAAACTTGTTTTATATTGCAAACATATTGACAACTGCTTGATTTATAAGCAAGATGAGTTCATACTACTTGACAATTTCTGTATCTGTTGGTTGTTTAAACCATGTAAGGATTTTATGGAATGTGAATAAATGAATGAATGTACCAACTGTACCAATGTGTCCTCTGCTCCATTCAGTCTTCTCAGCTGCTGTATTCTGGCAGTGTGTCACCTTAGTTACTAACATTTTCTGTTTCACTTTTGCACTGGTCTGCGCTTAAACATGTGTTTCTTAGTTCAGCCCTTTTTGACAAAAATAATTTTTAAGTATAAAATAATACAGTTTCTTAAATATGCCTTTGAATATATGTGCATGTGTGTAGACACATGCATGTACACTGTATATGTGCATGTGTGTAGACCCATGCATGTATACTGTATATGTGTATGTGTGTAGACACGTGCATGTATACTGTATATGTGCATGTGGACACCAGTGACAGAGACTGACTTTTTCAAAAGTGTTGGCCAAATTCTGAGACAGAGGGACGTGGTGACCATTTTGGCAATTTGAATATGTGCATTGTACAAGAAAACTATTCGAATTTGAGCTGATAATAAATAAAGTTAAGGAATAAGTGATGAAGGAAATGTAAACTAAAGAAAAATGGTTAGCGATTACTGAGCTTACTTTCTGTTGTTAAACCTTGTACATCAGTTCCATGAGAATATTTCATAGTTCAGTGGAAATACCTATCACAGAGTTACAGTGGTTAAGACCATTTATTAAGTCTTGAAGAATTTTCTTCTAGGTTTTCATTAAAGAAAGCGTAAACTTTCCTGAATCTGTGTACTGTATAGAGAAGTTGAATCCTCTTCAAAGCAGAGAATGACCACCAGACACACACACTGGCTGTTGGACTGGAATACTGTGCAAGAACTCAAGCAGCTGAAATATGTTAACATTCCTGTCTTGGCTAACATGATAGCTTGGAATGCTATCATCTTCCTCTCAAGCATATACCATATTCAGACTCTTCTATTTGTGCCTGTGCTCACAAATTGTTATTGTAAGTATGAAGGAACTGCTTAACAGTGTCTGTGATTGGCTGACTGGAATTACTGAATGATATTTTATCTGATCATTTCTCCTACCAATATATGGATTCCCATTGCCCTACAAATGTAATACACTTTACTTCTAAAATTGTTAGCCAGGTTAACATGGTCTCCACGACTTCTTCATCAGTGTTATGATATTTTATCTGATCATTTCTCCTACCAATATATGGATTCCCATTGCCCTACAAATGTAATACACTTTACTTCTAAAATTGTTAGCCAGGTTAACATGGTCTCCACAACTTCTTCATTAGTGGTGTGCACGTGTTTTTATACATGTTTCTATGCCCTTAGACGAACGTGCACACATACTCTCTCTCTCTCTCTCTCTATATATATCTGTGTGTGTATATACATCTTTTATTTGTCTAACATTTTTGGAGCTGCCTCTAAAGATCAAACTGAGCAAAGTTCACGATGACATTTTTGTGTAAAAATTGTATGATTGTTCCACAATTGATAAATTATACATGATGCTATATGAAATAATTTTGATCTCATTATGCAAATTCAGTGTTCAAAAAGGCACCAAAATTAGGGACTCCATATGACATTCCTGGAGCCCAGATATGTTAATCACACTTCCTCAGATTCTTAGGTTATGTAATAATGTCACAATATGGAAAGATGTGGAGGGAATTTCTGCTACTCGAGATTTTTTTAATTTTGCAGTTAATACGTATATTTGTAGCTACTCTTTGTATCCCAAAACCACCACCTCAGTCCATAGTCTGAGGGCTTGCCATGCCATCGTGGCAAGAGACCCATGTAATGTGGGTTATAATTTAATATTCCTCAGTAAATTTCAGTTTTGTTTCAGGAGTAACAGTGCAAGGGGCACCAACGCAGCTTCCAATTTGTGACATTACAGGGTCCAATAAGCGACGCAAGAAGAAAAAGAGGAGGCGGCGACGAAGAGGAGGAGTAGGTATCAGAAGTGTTAAAACACTGGTTTTTGCACAATTCCTAAACAATGTTGCCTTCAGTTAAATTACATTGGAAAAACTCTTATAGTCTGAAATGTTTTTGCACAAATGTGAAAATTTAATCTGCTTTTGATGAAAGAATAAATGTTATAATATTAATGATGCCTTTTCCCTCACTTGACAGCAGAGCCATGAAACAAGTAGATCTGTGTGGAACACATGGAGCCCCTTTTCCTCTTATACAGTAAAGAGTGATAGATTCTTAGGTTATTTTACAACTCTGTTTCATAGCACTGAGTGAGGTTAGGTTATCATGAAGGGCGTTTAGATAAGGGAAGGGAAGGTTGTGGTCAGACCTAACTACATCCTGGCATTTACCTGAGAAGACTGAGGAACACTACAAAGAAATATAGCTGAGGCTCTCTGAGATTTAGTGGTATGTTCCTCCTAAATACACGTAGAAGTCTTTTATTATTATTTATTATTTAAGTTAGAATTTATAAACCAAATAGGTTCTTGTCCTCTCTCTTATCACCTCTCCTGACAGGGGCCGAACTTCTGCCGCCTGTCTTTCTTGAGAAGAAGGTTCTGCAAATGTATTATGGGTTGCACAAGTTCGGCCCCCGTCAAGAGAGAGGACAGGAACCTATTTGGTTTATAAATTTTAACTTAAATAACAAAAGTTAAAAAATACTAATATACCAAGACAGCCGCTGTAGTTGTGAAAACTTTGGATTATATATATATTGTGCATTACAAACATTGTATGTATATATATTTTAACATTCAGAACACCCATTGTAATAGTGGTTTCCAAACTGTGTCAATGTCCCTCTGATGATGGTCTCTAAGGACCGAAACATGTAAGGGCATGAAGAATTGAAATAAGAAAAACTTCACCATTCACACTGGACGAATTGTTTTATGTTTTATAATTATACTACCTGTTTATAATCACTGATATGTTTCAGGCTGAAGATGGCTGCTCAGAAGTATCCAGTTCTGATGAGAAAGAGTTAGAAGAACCTATGAGTGTCACCAGTCAGGAATCTTCATCACAGGAAATTGAATCAGACTCAAAGCAGAGCACTACACTCAACAATGATTCTAGTACACTGTCACCACTGTCATCTTGTCAAACACTGACTCCTACAGATCTTGCTGATTCCAACTTAAGGAAACCTGTAGCACCCACTGACCAAAGTACTCAACTCCATTCATTCAATCCTGAAATACCACTGGTTGTTAACACACAGCAGTCATCTTTGGGAGAAAAAGAGAATATAAATGCACCTTCAGTATCAGAACAAAACATAATAGACACCTGTTCAAGTCACAATTGTGATGCTAAGTCTGCAGTTGAAGAGCTGAATCAACAGTCAGAACGAATAACAAAAGACAACAGTGAAGACCTAAATTCTGTGCCTCTTATAAAAGACCATACAGGAACTGAGGAACTAGATTTGCATTCATCTCTTTGTACATTGTCATCATCACATTCGTTACAAGAAGATCTATGTGAGTCACAGACTAGCTACCAAGATATACCCTGTGACTTCACCACCCATCATTCAGCACATAGTAGCACGCTGGAAACACAGAGTGAGAGTAACGGAATATATTCTGCAACAACAAGAATACATACTAAAGAATTCAATTCATCAGAAGATACAACTCAAGAGAGACAAAGTGGTGTGCAATATGGCAATGGTAAAACTTCTTCAGTGTCAAATGAATCCATTAGTAAAATTCAGGATGCAACAAAGCCTTTGAAGACAAAGAAATCCAGCAAACAAGCCAATGTGAAGCATAAAAATTCAAAAGGAAAAGAAGAGAAACAGAAAAGACCTAAGACATCAGTTATAAATTGCAGTGCAGACTCAAATCTGGAAAGGCTATGTAAGAATAAAGAAGGTCATGCAAGAAATGGGCCAGATGTCAGTGCAGTGATAATAGACTGTAGAACAGAAACACACAGTTCATCATCAGTTAACAGCATTCCATCAAAGATTACCACAGAAGTAACAACATTTACTGAAAAAGACAGTTCTACACAGGAAGAAGTTGGCCGTGACAGTTCTCATAATATCAGAACAGAGGGTTCAAACACATTGTTTAATGGTCTTGATAGATGCCAGATTTCAAAACATGATAGTGAAGGTAACTCAATAATTGAAATGGATGGGAATGAGAAGAAATCCACATCAGCTGTAAGTGAACCAATCAGTTCTGAAGAATCAGCGCAAAGTGGTAGAATCAGCCATAATAATGGAACTGGGAAACACAATTTGTTTCCAGAATTCAAGAGTTGTTTTGAAGGACCTCCAACAAGACCAGCTAGAAAAGAAAAACGAAAATCATCTCCTACTAATGCCCTGTCTCCAAACCAAAATCTAAGTGATGTATTAACTAAATCAAGCATCACTGCTAAACAGTTACAATTACCAACAATTTCTTTAAGGCCAGATATTCCTAAAACAGAGCACAAATGTTTGCATGAAGTATCCTTAACCCCACAGTTGAAAGGTACAGCAGACATACTTGAAAGCATAACTACTGCTCTTACTACAGAGCCACCAGTTACAAAGACATTGCAAGCAACAGTTCACAAAGAAAATCCAGTCTTTCAAGAAGCAGATTATACTGCAAATACCTTACATCCATCTGAATCTTCAGTGGCACATAAAGACCCTGTATATATTGCAGCATCTGCTTCTGTTGTGCAATGTTTCTGTCCAACAGAAACTGAGAAATTACTTGACACTCATGAAGACATATCAGGTCAAGCTACTGCAGTATCAGTATCAACAGAATGTGAAACAGATACGAATAAAAAGAAACACCACCATGAGATACTGAAACCATCGGAATCAAAATCTAGTCAAAAAGAGAATGATAATATTAATGAAGAAAAGAATAAAGTTGCATTAAAGTATCAGAGGTTTGAAGAATTGCCTCAGTGTACAGAGTTTCAAGATGAAGTTCAGTCACCAGTACCCCCTCCACGAGGTAAGAAATTGCTTGCTTGTAAACACAAGCTGACTGAGCATTCACAGATACCAGAATTGAGTTTAGAAGGTGGTAATGATGAAAGTTTGAGTGATAGCACAACTTCTTCAACAACACATGAAAGTGAAGAGTCTGTAATAGAACTCTTATCATCCACACATACGAATCCTGATGACAGACCAAAACAGGATTTTTCTTCTGATGAAGAAGAAGAAATCATATTCAGAGCGAAAATGGCTCACGGAAAAACTGACCGGAATATAAAATCAGTTCCTCCAGATAAACCAAATATTTGTGCACCGTCCACTAGTGGTCCATGTCTTCAAGATTATAGCAAAAGTTCTTGTGAAGATAAACTCACCACATCAAAAATGCCATCCAAACCTTGGATAGGAAATATTTCCTTAAAATATTCAGAAATATATGCTGATGGGCTGTCAGAAGTTATCATCTCTGAAGCTGTTTCTGAATCATCAAAGAAACGAATGTGCCTACCAATAACAGAAGCAGTTACAAGATGGCTGAGAAGTCAGTCACCAGAAGTCCTGTCATTACCACCACCAGAAGATGAAACAGAATCTGAGGGTTCATCAGAGGAACAGGACTCTGAAGAAGGAAAAGCAGACGAGACTGAAAATAAAAAATCAGCCGGTCAAAAAAACGTGTTTTGCAACCCTTTACCTGTACTATTGCTTGAAGACTGTCACTGTCTGTCATTTAACAGTGATATTAAGCACAGTGGTTACAACAGTGGTACTGGTAGAAGGGTTGCAGTAAATGATTTTAAATATTACAAGCTTCAGAATGGAAACATTGTGGCTGATAAGTATGACAATAATATAATTACTGTTTCTGTGTCAATTGAAGGAGACAAAAGGCTGATAAATATGTATGATGATAAAAACTATGTTTCATTTCACAAGGATAGCTGTGTTTCACTCATTCCTGTCACAAATACTGATCATAAAAGTCATGAAAGACAGGGTCAGATAAAGAAGTCTATTGATGAAGAAAGTCTTTTGACACAATTTTCCGAAACTGTGACAAATACTATAAATTACAAAAATGAACAAGTCAGTCCATCTAGTAACATCTGTGAAACAACCTTAAACGGATTTAACCACAAAAATGATGGAATGAATACAGCAAAAGACAGGTTACAAAATGAAATTATCTTAACTAGGGCTCAAGAAAACAGCTTCCAGAATACATCACAAGATATCTGTGAAATTTGCATCAATTCATCAGATACAACTATCTTAAACATCAGTTCTCTTAGCCAAATGAACTGTAGATCATATGAGAATGAATTTCATGTAAAAAATCTGAAAAATGAAAATGATATAGAATGCACTGCCAAGAACTGTAAATCAGATTTGTTAAAAGATTACGATGAATGTAGTTTTACTAGTGAAGGGACATTAGAATGTGAATGGGACATTTGGGACTGTAACCCAGTAAAGCTTCTGCCTGTGTTAACCACACCAAAAAATCAAACACCAGTTGAAGATATCTTGGCTGAAACACCAGATAACTATTGCTCCCATATGTGTGATCCTACAGTGTCAGTAGCAAAGTACTACAGTCTTGGAACTCTGCAAAAGAAATCTGATGATGATGAATTATCGAGTAATGCAACTGACAGCACTGGTGATGAAGTTGATGCACTTAAACATTTCCAGTATGAAATGGAGGACGATGATGGCCTGCAAACTGCACCGTTACTAAGCAATGGAACTGGGAACTTAAAAAGGATATCTGATGAAGAACATAATGGAAATAAAATCTATGGTAATCCAGATATCTGCAAAGGTCACTATAGGGAATCTGGCCCAGTGAAAGATTCAGGGATACAGTTTCAGGAAGAAGCTGAGAGATGCAAAAATGTGCATAATGTAACATTATTGCAGCGAGCACAGACTGCACATTTGTTCCACAGGAAATCATCAGTACTTGTGAGCAAGCTGAAAGGTGATGGTCCATTCCCATGTGGTGGTATATGTTGTATACTACAGTAACACATTCACACTGCCTCAGAACGGTTTGTTTAAGATGAACATTTTGTTGCAATATTTATATTATAATTATAGGTGGGGATACCAGGTAACAGCAGCCGATATGTTTGCAGCAGTGACAATGCCTAAAGAATGTATTCAAATTTAGTTTTATCTGTGAACAAGGTTCATGAAATAATCATACTCAGCAAAATATAATGCTGAGTTTTCATGTCAGATACTTTTCATAACTTGTTTAGCTATACTCAGAGCTGAATCCACTTCCTACCAATGTAATCATTAATTACTTTATCTTTAGATACTGTTCTTAGTATTCTTGTTGGAAATTTTTTGAAATACCCACTTTAAAACTTATACACTCTTCCTAAATCAAAATTNAAAAACATTTTTTATTTGTACATAGGAAGGAAAACTAAGGTGACCAGCTGTCACCTTGCCACCCATTTCTGGAATTCATTTATAGAGATGTTTCACAGGAATTATTTATTATGCTGTAAGGGTAGGACTTTTATTTCCATGGAAATTGAACATGCATTCATATTTTCTCAATCTGATTGTCCAGAATGGAGGGGAGGTAGCATCATTATTCTTATTTAAACTGTGTGATGAATAAAGTGAATTTCAAATTAAAGAATTTGCTAAATGGACTCTAGGATTACACATCACAATTTACATTACCCCTCCCAAAGGACACCAAAGATATAATAATACTTTTATGTTATAGGCATTAGTTTCAGAAGAAAATGTAAATAAAACGATGGATCACAACTGCCTAAATACAAAATAAACTTGAAATATGAGAATATGTATGTCAACTTGCATTCTTTCCTCTGGAAATGTAGGTTATGCATAACCTAATAAAAGAAAAAATTGTCATGTTTTACACCTAAACACTGAGAAACAATCAAATTTTGCAAAAAATGAACAAGAGATCCTCTTATTGGAAATAATTGTTTTCAGTTTCCAGTCCCAGTGTGACATTCTAGGAATATTTTTAAAAGGTTAATAATTCCAAAAATTTATCGTTACTGAGATGTTACAGGTATTTCAGTACCAGCAAGAAAAGGCAGATTGATAAGGAAATATTCATAATAAATTCTAAAGCTTATTACTGTGTGTGTAAAACAAAGAACAGACATAAATATTGTACAGATATTTAAGGTTGCCATATGCATTCAGGGCTAATATATATAAGTATATGTAAATATGTTCTAATGCCATAGACACCACCATCAGCAGCTGAAAACTTGAATCAAAAATTAAAATTCAATCAACTAAATGGAAGGACTGATAAACATAAGACTTCAAGGATTCAAATGCAAACAAAATTATAAGTGAATTTTAGATCCCTTCATAGACATTGTGGGATTACAAAATCTGATACCAGTCCTGAATATTTTCTTTGTAGGTATTTTTTTCTGAAGTTGAAGTACACAGTAATTGATTGGACCAAAATCCATCAGGATATTAGAGTGAAGATGTTTTTTTCTTTCAGAAATTCTCCGTTTCTATGTTTACCTAACCTTGAAGTATGCACCAGACCACTTACAGGAATTTTTTTAGTTAGTCACATATGCTTTTGCTCACAAACACAAAGACTAAGTGCTCAATAGGATGTGTGTTAATGTTCTTTCAGGGTCATCGTCTACATAGTAACCAGTGATTGCTTATACAAACTTAACCCTTTTTTATGGTAATAGGAATGTTTCTCACATATGACAAAATATTGTCATTTAAATAGCCAATAATAACTTTCTTTAGAGAGCTTATATAGAAATCCTGACATGGTATCCATGCCTAAATATAATCTGGATTTACTAGCTTGATCATACTACTACTGAAGTCTGAGTGACCATCATATGATAAGTGAGGGCTGTATATTTTAATATAGTAAGTATGGTAACATTTACTGTGAGATATAAACATAATCGATATGTCATACAATAAATCTATAATACAATGGATAATGAAGAAGCAACATGTTTTCAAAGGCCATGCTATAACTCAGGCAGTTAGTCACTGACCTGGGTTCGATCCTAGGTCAGGTCGTATGGGATCTATGGTGGACAAAGTAGCACTGGGGCAGGTTTTCTCTGAGTACTTCGGTTTCCCCTGCTAATTTGCATTCCACTAAATGCTCCGTACTCATCTATCATCTGAGGCTGGTACAGTAGGCTAATTAGTGGTTGAGGTACCAAGTGGACAGAGTCTCACCCCACCCCACAAAAAAAAAACTTGTTTTGAAAATTGACTTTTCAATCTTTGTAACTTGCAAAAAATATTGGTTCTAGGAAGTACTATAAAACACACAAAATTGTAACCTTCTTAAGCTTATGAAGTACCTGATTATCATTTCTCGATCATTTACAGAAAGAAGTTTAAATGCAGTTCAAATTATTGGTCACAATATTCAGAAGCTTACTTGAAACAGCTTATAAATTTTTACTGCCACCTGAAGTACTGTAGAAAAGAAAGTAAAATAATTATGCAATTCATTATGAAGTGAAGGTTTTTAATTTGTAGTTTTGTTTGTCTCTGACTTAAAATGTTTAGTTCCTATATATATATATATATAATTTTATTTACTATAAAGAGAAAGCAATATTATCATGTCACCACCAGTTCAATGTCATTTAGTAAACTGTAAGCTCGTACTAAACACTATTAAGGTAAAATTACAGAACAATAAAAATGTTGTCACAATGTCAGTAGCACTAATAAGTGACACCACAGAAATTAATTCACTTAAAATTATTTAATCACCCATGGGACAAAACAATACTGAAAATGGAGTGTACACTTCAAGTCTGCAACAAAAAGTAATGTAATTAAAACTTGATTACAGTTTGTATTTGTAATGAAAAACAATAATTGAAATTATCACAAGGACATATATACTTTGTCCTTGAGATAACTGCAAAAAAGTATGATGCTTTATCAGTCTTCATTCCAAACTTGTCATGCAGGAGAGTAAATATAACAGATCAAATATTTTTTAAAATCAAAACTACATTCTTTTTCTTTCTGTTATAATTCAGGTGAATTAGAGAGATCACTATCAATCAAGAATAAATAATTTCTAGACATTGCAAGGTTCATTGTCACTTTTATGAAGTAATAAAGTCAGTCATATTACATATAAAGTTTAAGTAACCAAGAAAGAGAGAACGAGAGGAAGGAAAAACATCTCAGAGGCAACTGTGTTTTCCTTCTTTCAGTAGTTTAGTCATGTGTTGTTTGATACAGAATAAATATATCTGCCTTGCTGTAAGTCTTCAAATATATTTACATGCCTGCAATAATTATAAGAGGATTTGGTATGAACTATAAATGTGGATCTCAGATACCATTTTAAACCTGTGTCATATATGCAAATAAAAGTGATGAATAAAGTGAGCTACAGTAAAAGAGAAATAGAGCCACTGGGGAATAGAATGTTACCACATGATAGGACTTGAAAATCAGAACATATTAGATGCTTTCTTTTCTCATCAGGAATGTATACTGAAGTATCATATGATGACAAATGGAAACAGAAAACTTGAATAATATAAGTCTTTGTAGATCATTGTCATGATGCTTTGTACTTAACACTAGTAATATAACATGATTCTACCATTCAGGTATGCTGAATGAAGAAGCTAACCATATGGAAGTTTCTTTTGCATAATTTACTTACTGCAGTTGAGTCAGTAAACTACAGACAATTATATTGGATCTGATGCTCTCACAGAAGTGACTGTGAAGAGTATGGTTTTATTTGTTGTAGTGCCACATAGTATGAAGAAACCTTTCTCTGAACTACGTAGCATTAAAGCCCAGAGGACCATACTCTTTACAGACAAACTATTTTGACTTCACTGAAATGGCTTAGAATACAGGTTACTAACACATGAGGTAGCAACAATTTTTAAAATAAATGATGTCATTCTACCCTTACCAGTAGGGAAATTTGAAATAAAATGGCTTTTAATTCATACAGTCTAGAGAAGAAACTTTTAATTTAATTTAACATACACTCACTTGTGTCCCCTTGTTGTTAACGTTCTTGTACTAAATGAATTGTGTAATAATAATAATATTGAAGCTTTGTAAATCGTTAAGTTTGTTTTTATACACATTGCTTGTCAAACTTTCCCTGTTGTTACATAAAATATACATACAAAAAGTAATAAAAATCAACCCACCCCCCCCACCAACAAACACAACAGAATACATTGTTAAGAACATAAAAGACTGCTAAATGAGAAATATGTTAATGTTATCAGTGATAATAATTAATAACAATATACAATTTCATTATTATTTTTTATTTTATTATGTGCACAGCCAAAAGTCAATGCATCTATTTTGTTAATATGAAGTTACTTAAATCAGAATTCACAAATGTGAAAACGTTACCATGTTTATTGCCTGTGAGCAAAGAAAAGTAATTATCATAATGATAATAACAATGCAATACAGAAATGAAGTCCAGACTCACATAAAGATAAAACATATATATGTTAATGGTCCTTTATTATCATAATGAATGTTACTGTTTTAACATGGTTATCAAACTTTGCATATATACATATATGAACTATTTTCAGCTTAATTTTTGTGTCTGATATGCATTGTTAAAATATTTATGAAAGAAAACTTTTTCTATATATTAAAAGTATATGAAGGTGTTGTAAAGAAGTGTTCATATAAAAGATGGTGTTATTTTCAAAGCATTTAAATCAGGTTACAGAAATGATGTGAATCTTTTTCAGAATGTAAGGAAGAAATATGAATTGTTTATAATTTCTACTTAAATTTGCCATAAGGATTTCAAGAATATGAAGGTGTTAAGTATTGTGGTACTAACTGAAATAATAAATTCTATTTTATTATTTAGATTACTTTTCTTCACTTCTACAAAAGAATATATATATATTTTTTTTCCTTGAACATATCACTGTTACATCTGCTTATGCTCACTAAAACTTTCACACTTGTGGGACAAATTATGATGATTTTTGTTTACTGCAATGCAGTCAAATTATAACTTCATACATGGCACTATAAATATTCTTGCTATTTGTTATCACATCTGTATTACAATTTGCTTTTTCATGAATACTCATTTTCCACAACTAAATTGGGTTCAGTCTTTGTCCAGTATGAACTTTAATTCAGAAGTCTATAGATGAAAATGGTGTAATCTACCGTAACAGGAATTAGTACTTAGTCCTCTTGCTAAAGGTGATGAAAAGGTCATGTTCAGATGTCTAACAAAGTTGACTCTAGTTATCAATCAGGTTTTCATTAAACTATTTTTTTGTTTCACTCTGTAGCCTTTTCTTGGGCTACATAAGGTGTCTTAATTACTAAAATGTGAAAACATAGGTATTATTCATGTATTGGACTAGATGATCTTTCTAGTTTGCTTCTAAATAATTTTTCAAGGAAAATTATCAGTATTTTGATGGACATCAGAGTTCTATACATGGTTTTAAAGGCAAGTGCTTGATAAAGGCCTTTTAATGTTAAAAAAATGCACAAAATTTTAAAATCTGAACTGAAAATAAGTTAATAAAGGATAGCAGTAAGGTGTTTGTACGTTATTTTCTAATGGATATTTTCAAATGTCCAATTTAACACCTGATCAATAACTGTTGATGTATGTAACAACTCCTAAATATCCAAGTTTATGTGATATCTCTAACAAATAATATAGGTTTGAGAGAAAATGAGAAGAATCTGAGGATTGAACCCCATGTTTGCTTTGGTGCGATGAGTAATTGATGACTAAAAATCATTACTGTACAATCTGTACCACACTGATCCAAAGTAGGAAAACAAAATATTTATGGGAAAAGACAACAAGTTACATTTTTTTTTTTTTTTTAATTCCTATGTGTCTGTATCATAGAAGGCCAATTTTCATGTAAGAGTTCTAGTGCCTAAAAGAGTAAAAGATGAAATGAGAAAGTCAGCGTCTTATGCCTTTTAGTGCATATCAACGCCTTTCCCTCATATTAATTCCAGAAAAAGTCTTAAAATTTTAGTTGCAACCATCACCTATTTACAGTTAATTTGTAAGGCAATGATTATATATAGTGTATATCTAATTTTCATTGTGATGTGAAATTGTTACACACAAACAAACTGTTGCTAAAATATGGTATATACTTCTGTGTTTTCTGAGTTTAAGAAAATGCTGTAATAATGACTTTCTTTTGAGATACAAGAGTAACTGTTTATATTGTTAAGATTTTGAATGAAGGAAACAAACTGAAAATAAAACATATTAATTCATTGTTTCTCATTGCTCACTGTTGAAGAATGATGAAAAGTAATATGAGATCAGTTATTTTAAAAGTTAAAAGGGAAGCATGAAAATTTATATGTGTATATATTTTTAAACCCAGTTTCTAATCAAATTGAAAATCACTGCAATCTTTTGTTTTGAGCTAAGAGGGAAAATATTTTCTTCTTAATGTTGTGAATTTGTTAGGATGTGTATTGAAATAAGAAGAGTTGTGAATTTGAAATTAGCTCTTGAGTTTCTTTTAAGTGTAACTAAGATTGTAGTTCCTTTATCATGTTTCACGTTCATAATATTTTGTTTATCTGTATGAATATGTAATATACCCATATAATTAGATCATGCATAATGGTAGGATTAGGGATTTAAAAAAAAATCTGTTGTACTGTGCATTTTCTTCCTTACTGCTGTATTACCAGTATTTAAATATTACTGTTTTTTTTTCTTGGTAACACCAAACTTAAGCAATAATTTTTTTTATGAAAAATGGTGCCTTCTGACATTTTTCTACAGTCCCACGAATTAATTTTGTTAAAGCATGGACATTAGTCACATATTTATATTCTGAGTTGTTTCAGCCTTTTATGGTATTCCAACAAAATTATGGTATGTATGAATGTGCACATATATATATATATATGTATATATATCCAAAATCGCCACTTCTTGAATGACATGTGTTAATACACTGAATAAGATTGTATTAAACAGACATGAGTGTACTGAGTTTCAAATACTTTCGAACCTAATTTTCCTGCAGTAAACTGAATGAAATGATCTTAATCCCATTGCATATGTACAATACAACAGAATTTAAGAAAACAAGTCACTAGGTAGTGTAGAGAATATAATAAAGTGGTTAAATTTCATACTCACTACAAAACCTTTCATTGAGTAAACACAAGAATTCAAGCATTATAGCCAAAACCAATTATAACAATAACATAGGGACAATAGGCCTAATGAAGCAAAATTTTAAATTTCATTTGATGTTTAAACAAGATATGTAATGTACAAAGGATATGAGCAAAATTAATAATTTTAATCTTAAGAACCAGATATTATAATAGGTAATTTCAAGTGAAATAGTTATTACTGTATGCAGGATATGTAGAATACTGTGGAATTACAAAGTTTGTGAAAGAAAATATGGAGAGAGTTGTCCTTGGTATCTTTTAAGTTATCATAGAAAGAGTTTTATTGAAGAAATATATAATGTTTTGTTCTTTTTTTGTCTTCTGTTCAATTTTTTAAAGCAATAAAAATGACAAACAACAAACCAAATATGTATGGTGTGTTATATTTTTAATATAAATATCCCTTCTGCAAGATGTCCATATTTCTGGGTCTGATTTTAACAATGACCCAATCTGAAGAAAGGAAAGTTTTCTGAAAAATCTGTGTGAAGGAAGGATGAAGTGTCAGGTTATGAAAGTACTTGCAGTTTTCTGAGCTTCTCCATAGTTATAAATAATGAATTTGTTCTCCTTTTAGATAAAAATTAGTGTTGCATGTTCATATCCTGTTTAGGACCAGCAGCAAGTAATGAAATCCCATCAAGAAAAAATTGGCGCCATTTTAAAAAGGATAGAGGATAATGAAGAAGAGATGAAAACAACAGTAAATGTCATCCAGGAGAAGACAGTCAGGAAATGATGAGGGCCCTGACAGAAACTGCCAAGAAAAAGACAGTCTGCAATGAAGGCCAGCCAAGAAATACGAAGACCACAACAAACTTCATTCGGTCCAAACTGGTAGAGACCATAAAAATTGGGCGGAGGATGTCCTGGCATCTGCCGACCAATGGACAAGACCTCCGCAAAGAAGTTAACCTTGAAGATTGACGAACCACAGGTGCACTTAAGGTAATAAAGATGTTCCTCAAAATGTGGGCAAAAAGCCTTCTTGAAAACAGCGGATAGCAGGAAAGACCTCCACGAGGAGTTCCACTCTGAGATCGAAAACATGCTGCACAAGTTGGAAACACAGCTAAAATAAGTCGTGGCCTAAGTCGCACAGGAAGTCAGTGGCATTACTGGAACAGGTGCTGGTAGGGTAGAGACACCAAAGTTGGGTGAGTCGACATCCTGGGTTAGTTCTGCCACCAGTTTGAGACTGTAAATGGGCACCCTACATAGAGGCCAAGCATCTGCTTGCTGCACTGTAGAGCTGGGCTTTCGATGTCCTCCATGGTGTCCCTGAAGAAGTGATGTACAAGGAGACTGTCGAGGCTCTTTGAGGACTAATTTGGGGACTAGCACCTAGCCGCAGCATACTGGAGTCAGCTGAAGACAAGTACCCAACGTGCTGGCAAGTCCCTGCAAAAGTTTACCACTGTCGTCGAAAAGTTGACCTACTGCACCTATCCTGCATTATCCGAGAATCAGGTAAGGAAGTAAGCAGGTAGGGAAATCGACGGCAGTTTTAGGAGACCAAGACGTAAAAATAGTTGCAATGCAGCTGCTCCTGTGAGGCAAGAAAACTATCGAGGGCCTCCAGCAGCCCACCAAGCTGCAGGATGTGTTCCTAGAGTCCAAACCCAAGAAAAAGAGTTTGTTCGTGGCTTGCTGTGTTGTTTTCACGAACAAACCCTGGACGACATCAAGAACCTCCTCATCAAGATAAACAGGCGGCACAAAATCTGCCCCATACAACGACGATAGGAGTACAGACACGAACCTATGTGATTTAAAAAATTTTAACTATTGACAATAAAGGTTTTTTAAATACTTTACAACACCAGGAAGCTGCTGATTGTGAAACGTTGGACTTTATGCGTACTGTGCATTATAGGATATAAGTGTATGTATTTTAAATCAAAACACCTATTGTGATGGTAGTTTCCAGTTTGTAATGATGTTCCCTCTGAAGATGGCCTGTAAGGACCAAAACATGTAAGGGAAATAAGTTTTAACGTAGTAAAAACTTACATGTTACATTGGACAGAGTGGTTTGTATTTACAATTACAATCATTTAGCAGTTTACTTCTAGGTTCCACTTGCTATGCCCTGGCCGGTTTTCTCCTTAAGGTACTAAGTTTTCTTGCTGGAAAATCGGAATTCTTCTTTAAAAATTCGGGCCACTTCCTACAAATGTAGAACTCTGTAAATTTTCAAACTTAGATACCGCCGTTAGCTTTGACGTCGGCAGTTTTTCACTCATGTACCAGTCAACGAACCATTTGACCCTTTTGACAAGATTTTTTATGTGGCAATATTTACTGCTCTAACTCCCTTATCATTGCTATTTCGTTTAAACTCTCGTTCCCAAGTTATTGGTTTCAAAATATTTTCACCACTAACTTTGGCATATTCTCCTAACAAAATGTTTATATGGTATTTAGGGAATTTATCGAATACACGTTCTAGTTCCTCGTAGAAGATGTATTTCATATCAGTAATTGCATTCGTCGTTGGGGTATCAGCATTCAGAACAATATCACACTGATCACACTAGTGTCGCTAGCGTCCTACCTCAAACATACCCTGCCATCTTAACTTTTGATTTGATACTATTATGTCATGACCAGCAGTGCATGATGTACCTTGAAAATCATCACAGTAGAGCCAGTAGAGGGCCGACCAATTTTGTCACTGTTCTTAATAGTAACGAATCATTGGCGTTCTGCTTGTTGAATGCCGTGTTATAATTGATTTTGTTGCTGAAAATAACTAAATAAACATGTCTGAGAAAAAGTCTGTAAATCCTGTAAAATATTTCTTATCTGGTGGGTTTGGTGGAGTATGTACGGTTGTTGCAGGGCATCCCCTAGACACCATCAAGGTATTTATTAAATAACTCTCGTAAAGGTTATGTTTGGTTATCAGTAATACTTCGAAAATTTCTAACTTTACATACTCACTCGAGTTCAGATTTTGATGTTCCAGGCCCGATATGTTGGATTTGTACGGAAACAGAATAACAATTTTCTTTACACTAAGGTATATTTTTATCTTGCTAAGAAAATGCCGCATAACATCATGTGATAAATTGTGGAATTACGCGTATTCAGCTGAAGAGATTTCTCCACAGTTTACAACATTCACGCTTCGCTTACAGTGACTTGGCTGAATTTAATTATCAGGGTGTATAGTAGCCAATGATCTCTCTTAGGAATGAACTCTCTTTTTATAAGTCGGGGTAAGCCGAAGACAGACCACCACCTCCAGCAGTTCGTCTGTTATTATTTGTTTCTTCCTTTGCTACGAAACATGTGTCAGCCTCGAGGCAACGCTTTGATTTCTACAAGCGTGCTGGTTGTTTTGAAACGTGCGTTAGCGAGCCGTTGTCTAGCAATGCACTATTCCGACATAATACTTCATGCCATTTAGACTCCAGTTCCATAGAATAATCACTTCCACTCTACATCCACTTTAAAATTAATTTGAATTCAACTTGCCACTGTTACACCAGTGGCCCATATGTCGAGGTACTTGGATGTAATTGATCATGCACGTAATCTTTTCGAAGCTTTCCCCAGTAGACATGTAAAAGATTACTACAAGGAAAGAAAGACTGTACCTAATGGAAGTCATTTTCCCATAGTGCGGTTATTGTGCCTTTAAGAATGTCTTTTACATTTCTACTAAGATGCAAAAATAATAGAATTTGATTGGCAGATAGGATTTTAGTGATGGTAAGAAAACAAAGTAAGATTTCACATGTGGAAACCATGTCATAAGAAAAATGAATCATTAGTAATACTGTCACAGTTGCATAGGTCATATGTCAATTCAATTCAATTTTATTTCATCCATGAATCATTATACATGATATGGGACAAGTCAAAGATTAATATTAATACTAATACTAAATAGTAATAAGAATATGGATGTCATGGATGGGGTGGAGTGAACTTGTAAACAATATTATATAATACTACTACTAATACTACGTGAGCACACGTAGTAAAGACAAGCAGCGGCACGCACACAGGAAGACTACACAGAATAACACCTGTACAGTGTGGAAACAAGAACTAGCTGCTCCAGCACTTTAGACATAGGGCGAGTAACCCTAACAATTTTAAATTTTAAATTTAAAATTTAGAGATAATTTTCAAGGATTTTAAAATCATAACTAAAGATTTTATATTGCTACTACAGGTAAATCAAATTTGACGTGTGCAATATAATCAACATACCAGACACATATCAACGAGGTAGATGTTGCTAATACGAGGAAAGAAAATAACAGTGTGTTTTAAATGTTAAATTTTAGACTGGGTTCAGTGTGGCAGCAACGTTAAAGAGTATACACCTAATGATGGCCGATAGAGGCCGAAACATGTAGTGTAGAAGAGAACAAGATCAAAGACATATAATATATATTGTTTGCACTTGGGACGGAGTTTGTATCATTTATCGTGAACTTGTAAAATTGAATTTATATTTTGAAGGAACCCTCTTCAAGTGTCAGCTTTCAGCAGGTATTCTGCTGAAGGTCTTTTGTAGCTTTTCTTAGTTCAACAAAGTAATATTGGATGAGAACTTTTATAGATAATGCCTGTCTCATTCCAAATTTTGTCTGCTCTCCATTCATATAGTTATGTTTTTGTGTCTTTCAAGAATCAGTCATGGCAGATTATTTTATATATGTTTTATGAAGCTCATGATACAAGAAAATAGAAGTTTTTTTCCTGAGTTTGTTTGTTGATTATGATGTACTTTCATATTCTTCTCATATTACGTAAGTAAGAAGATGGTGGCACAAGCAGAGGTAGTGAATGGGGTGCTTAAGTCTTATTCTGCAAAAGATTTGTGAGGGAAGTTTCACGTGAACTTGGTTAAAGAACCTTCAGATTAACAGTTCATTTACTGGTGATTTGAACAATTTGTAGAAACAAAATGCCTATACAGAGATAAGAGCATGAATTTCCCAGGGTTAAATGAGGCCGTATGAGACAGAGGTTATTTCATAAGATAGTGAACCAAAGAAGCTTTATGTCAGTGGTAAAGTGGAAATGTTGAAATATTCTTAAAGGCATTTGTATAGATCAAACCATACTTGTACTAGTTCCTGCAGTCATTTTTAAAGAACAGTGACAATCATTATCCTGTTATTGCATTATTTATTGTGAGTAGATAAATTTATAGGCATATTAATATTCTTGTTCCATTATGCAGTTCACCTGTGAATGTGCATCAGGCCCTGTCCAATTAGTAAATTGCTGAAGGACCACGCTTGTAGTTTTATCAGAAAATGTATATAACACTAATTCAGATCTGAATATGTATGGGGGAGAGTTAGTAAATAGGTCATAAATGGGTATAAAACATAACACACATGATATTTGAACCTGGGAAAAGCCTTTATTCCTAGACATATCCTCCACCAACATTGGTACACTTGTCCCATAGCTTTACCACTGCATCGAAACCTGCAGCATAGAAGTCTTTTGACTGTTGTCTCAGCTACTTGTGCACCTCCTTTTCAACCTCTTCATTGTCAAAGAAATGTATGCAACCAAGGTGGTTTTTTAGCGGACCAAACAGGAGGAAGTTACTAGGGGCCAAGACCTAGCTGTAAGGCAGATGTTCCAGAAGTTTCCACTGTAGTTCTGGAGTTCTCTCCTGGGTTGCTTGGGCTGTATGGGGTGTGGCATTGTCATGATGAAGCAGTACTCCTCTTGCCAGTTGACCTGGACGTTTTCTGCGAATTGCAACCTGCAACTTCAACAGAACTTCACAGTACAATGTTGAATTCACATTTTCATCACGCTTCTGAAAATGGGCTAACAGTACTTCCTGAGAAGCCAAAAACATGGTAAGCATAACCTTCTCAGCTGATGGCATACTCATGACCTTAAACTTTTTTGTTGAAGGTGAACTGGGATGTTTCCATTACACTGAAGTATGCTTTGATTTGGGTTAAGCACATCTTCACTTAAATCCACATATCGTAAGAGATGTTGCAAGGACAGACCCATTCGGTCCATTTTTTCTCAAGCATTCAGTTTTTCGGGCACCTACCATGTATGCACTTTCAAAAACTTCAAACGATCATGCGTTATGCTGTACGCTAAACCATGGGACCACCGTAGTGCAGTTGATACACAGTCTGTCACTGTCCTCCTGTTAGCTCAAATCAACTCTTCCATCCGCTGCACAGTTTCTTTTGTGGCAGTCTCAACAGAGTGACCTGATCAGGCATCATCTATGACTTTCGAACGTCCTTGAGAGAATTCCTCGACCCAGTTATGAACTGCTTCACGCTACAAACACTTCCCAATGTAAACAGGAAATATTTCTTTATGAATATCCTTATGCCCACAAAAAACACAACATAATTCTGCTCTTTGGTATTGTACTCCTCAAGTATGGTCGCCAGTTTGACTACTGAAACAAGCCTCTGAACATGTACGTGCACGTCTGCTGCCTAGACTGTTATGACGCTAGACTGTGCTGCTACCTAGTGATACACAGAAAATTTGTTAGTCCATTACAGCTGTTTCACTTCCATTTGTCATGTATTTACAGACTTTCCCTCATGGCTTTTGGTGAGAAACCAACCAACCAACCAACCAACCAACCAACCATCTCTTTCTCTCTCCATCTCCCCCCTCCTTCACTCTCTCTCCTTCTAACCCCACTTTAGCCCAGTATTTTCAAATATGTCTCTCTTTAGTATAATTTGCTGATTTTACATGCATGCCCAACTGATATGTTAGTCTTTGTGTTTTATGTATAAATAATTTCAATGTTTGTTTTTGATATGAATGAAGCACTGTGTATATTCATTAGAATGCTCATAATATTAAAAAAAATTAATACTAAAGTGATGGAGCTGAAAGTGTAAATTTTGCATATACGAGTATATTGCCAGTAACTGCTGTACAAAATATGTTGTTGGTATAAGCTGTGAAACAAAGTACAGTATCCTCCAGTAATATATGTCTCTTACCTGCTCAATAAGCAAGTTAAACTTGACCCAAAATAAACTGTATTACATGTACTTATTTGTGGCTTATTTATTGATCCTGTCAATAGATCAAACTCTTTAGTGTGGAATGGTAGTGAGTGATGAATTGGAAAGGATGTGGAAGAAATTGGTCTGTGGGATGTCAGTGTTCTAAGAGACAACCACGTAAAACTATAACAGTTGTATATATTATTCTCAAATGTACAGAATGGCTGGGAAGCCGTCTCGATATATATATATATGTTCACAAGTTTGCAGGCCCTGGAAAGGGCCGTTTGTTCCGCTGTGCATGCGCTAGTAGTAGCATGGGCCTTCCTATACGGTCGCTGAGCGGTTATGAGCGGGCAGGATAGCGGCGAGCCTAGTCGGATAGTCCGGGCCTTCATTATGGTCACTCAGCGGTTACGAGTCAGCATGAGAGTGGAGTCTAGCTGGTCTGGCACTGTAGTGCACGTGCTGGTGTAGTCCGCTGTCCCAGTGTTGTTTGCTGGAGAGCTGCTGCTTCATGACGTCAGCATAGCTACGTTAGCTGTCTTCGGCAGAGTGAAGACGATTGAAGAAGAACTGATGATACCGAGTTTTGAGCTCTGCCTTTTATACCATGCTTGCTGGGTGGAGCTAGAGGTGCAGTTGCGGTTTTGAGCGCTGATTGGCCAGCATCCATGATGATTTCCAGGGGAGCAATGTGACATTGACTTGGCTTGAGCAGAAGTTGAATGTTGTCTGTTAGACCGGCAAAGATGGATGTTAGAATGTGGGAGGTTCCCACAGGTCATTGCTGAATTTGAGGTACTATCCCTATATTTGCCTGGACTGGGGAAAACCCACAGTGAACCTGAGTCAGGATAGTGTGTGTCTTGTCCTGAATACAAATCAGAAGTGTCATTGGTTGAGCCAACTTCCTCAGTCAGACTCTGTTAAAGAGAAGTATACCCTGCACTGTCTAACTTTCTGATAGTGAAGCATAAAATGAATTAATCTCGTGAGAGGTTGAAATGTAGTAAAAAGTTTACAGCTTTTTCCTTAGAAAAAGAGTATTGAATGTGTGTCTGGAAAAAAAAAACATCTAGCAGCCCATGTGTCTAAAAATGTGGGAGTGATATACTCCAGATGTGATTGCCAAGTTATTAAGAATTGTTTGAAATGTATTTGTATCCAGTGCAGTCCTGGCAAGTCAGAAAGTCAGTTTGATTTAATAGGTGTACAGCTGGGGCATGAAGCTGACCACTTAACCTCCATATAGTGCCAAGGTCAAAATTGGTGGAGCTATATCTCCATTCCCTGTTGTCTTCATGGCATGATGCTTAGTTAATCAATCATAGGCACAGCTTTACCTTTACAGGAAAGTATACCTGGAGCCAGGGAAACAACTCATAAATATTTTCGTGATTGTACAAGAATGTAATGTAGGGTATAGTATGTGTAGAGAGGTTGCGGTGATATAGTTTGGTTCCTGCTGTCACTGTACAGATGAGCGGGGATCTTAAGTTGTGTGCAGAACTGCCCTTTTCGGCGATAAGATGGGATAAGATAGGAAGGAACTGTCAGAAGTGGGGTAACATGGAGCTTGCAGTTTCGTGATTAATCATCAGGAGGCCTTTTGTCAGCAGAAGAGGTCTGCTTTGTGCCTTCTCTTCTCCTTTGCCTTTCATTCAGTCATCTGCAATGTCATACCTGGAGATGACATTTAAATGTCAGTTAACATAAACTGGCACGTGCCAGTCAGGGTCAGTGCCATGTCCAGTAGAGGCCAGTGTTTGAATTAGGACCATTTAAAAAATATAAATACTTTGTATGAATAAAGTACTGTATTTGCTTCTGCTTCTGCTGCCATTACCATGATGATAGTTTTCAGTACAAAGGGATGATTTATATGTTAGTTTACATTATATAATCTCTCATTATTTAAGGTGCAAATTCCATCAATAAAGTTACGTATTGTTTGAAGCCCATTATCATTCTAAAGGTCAGGATCCTGTATTGTATGATGTTAGTGTTGACATCATAATAAGCATTTATACAGTGCAAGATACATGTTGATATTGTTGAAGTTCACAGATTATAAGTATAGAGTTAAGGCCACCTCCACTGTGTGGCACACTGTTATTTCCATGAAGATGGCTGTTGTTATTAATAGCAAGATACCCACACACTACTGTACAGGGAAGTTACATGCTTGTCAAGATTCTTGTAGTTTCAGAAACCAGTGTAATATGTGGCAGTAGAAAATTGTTGCTTGTTGAAAATTTGAACATGAATAATTGTTGTTTGAAAAAGTATCATGTGGCAGTTGGTTTAACATTCTGCTAATATGATATCAAGCTGGGTTAGAGAGTCTGAGGGGAAATAGTGTTGCTGGATATTTTGGTTTGTACTGTTTGTGGAGTGTGAGTCAGGATAGCTCAATCAGTGAAGTGACCAACTGTGGACTGGATTACCCAGATGTGGTTCCCAGGACATTATTTTGTTTTTGTTTTTTGGAGGGGGGGCACCACAGCCAGATCAACTCCAGGATTCCTGGGTTCCTATCCAATGGGTGGAAGGGATAAAGCACATACATCCATCAAATGTCAAGATTTAGAGTGCACTGAGTTTTGTCTCCGCATCTTTATGACAGGGTTCATAGGCATAGATGAATTTCTCTTTACCTGAACTTAGAGCCCAGGGTAAAATTAGAGCTACTGTTGAAGGAGTTTCTCAGTGATATGTTATTGGCTATTGTAGGTGAGACTGCAGACTATGCCCAAACCTGCTCCTGGTGAAACTCCAGCATATACAGGGACATGGGACTGTGCCAAGAAGACAATCAAAAGAGAAGGATTTTTGGGGTTGTATAAAGGTATGAATGTAGTTATGTCCAATTAGAAAATGTCAATAAATTACAGAGAGATGTTCTCACCAATAAATATTAATACGTTCTAACAGGACATCAATTTATAATACTTGTACTATGTGGGTGATTGGTAACACTGCAGTATTTTGACACTCTTATTTCTCTGTGACCTGAAATGGCATGGCAAAATGGTAATGGCACAAGTCCCTGCTGTTACTTAAAAGTATTAATGACTGCAGGTGAGGGGTGTTCCATCCCTAAGGTCCAAAGGAGCCAGGTCCCACCAGAATTTAATAATGTTTAAAAAGTAGTTTGGTGATTTTTTCATTTATTAGTCTTAAAAAACAGCTTTGGATCTATAATTTCTTTGCATTTTGAGTGGCATAGAAGGATTTTTAAAAATATGTAGAGAAGTTGCTTGGGTCTCAAGAGGCTCATGGAGTGTCTGCCTCATGGATCCTAGTGTTAGCTCAGTTTTCTGTGGAAGTTCCTTCCACTTTCTTCTAGCATTTGATGTCATGCCTTCCCCGTGCAGCTGTGTTCTGTTGTTACTTGGGCTGGGTATCCTGGCCCTTTCAATCTTCATGTGTATTCATGTCTCCCCAACTTGTCTGGACATTTTTTATTCTTCATTCTACTGCATGAACTCGGCTGCACCATGATAAATGCACTTGCTTAGGTTTTAGGTTTCTCTTATGAGATTGAAGAAGGTAAGACCAGTGTATGTTCACATGTGTGTGTGCATATATGTATATGTTCATGCATGTGCATTTATTTTAAGTTAAAGGCCTGTAGGATGACTATGGTTGAAAGTTTGTCAGGAACCTCATATTGTTGTTGATACTGCTCTGGAGTGTTTGCTCCATGTGGATGTTGGCAGCACTGCCAAAATTTTGAAGTTACCTGCTGCCTTCATCTTAAGGACCCTGAGAATGGAGTAGCACATGGTGCAAAGTTCCAACAGCATAATCAGCATCAACAGTGAGCCACCATGAAAGCCTGAACTCAGTAATGGAAAGCTCATGTAATATCTGTAGTGTGTAGAGTTAGCAGTAATATCAGGGGTGCCATTACAGCAACAGAAAGTAATGTACATTTAGTGCTGGTGCTAAACAGGTAGTGTATTTGAAAAGAAGCTTTTGAAGAAATGTCAGACTGGATTTAAAGGTAATTTTGAAAAGATTCAGTTGTCACTGTGATTATGAATGAACCTAAAAGAATGATGTGAGTAATATAGTTAGTGTGACCCAGAAAGTGACAGAAATTATGCATTTTTGACTGGTAGTACAAATTGTACACATCCCCGCTGAAACACCTATGATAACGTCAGTCTGTCAATCTCTACAGGAACAACATCTGGGCAGAAGAGGGTTCACATAAGCCCAGCAGGATCCAAATCCTCCCTTGATGCAAGGAAGCATATTTCTACCAAGGTGTTTTGCCGCATGTCAGGGAGGGAGAAGGGAGGGTAACTTAAAAGTAAACTCTTTGTATGTTAACATTTAAATGAGAAGATAGATATTCTCCTCTTTCCTTAAATGTAAGTGGGGGGGGGAGATTTTATTTGGTCTTGGCCCCACCTCTTTAGATGATCATGAGCTGCAACTGCTGCACTTAATTTCTCCATTTAAGTTCTGAAATTTGTACTTGATAACCCAATGCAACCAGTAACTTTAAAAGTTTCACCTTGAAAATTCTTGTCATGGACATGCAATATGAGGAACACATTGTTATACTGAAAGCAAGAAAAGGTAGGCAGTATGGGGCTGTAATGCATTACCGCCTTCTTGTCGACTTTCCCATCTCATTTTGACAATTACTTGGGATTGCCCCCAGTTAAGTTTACAGTACAAGTGAACATCTTAGTAATGCTGTAGTAATCAAACTTGGAGAAACAGTGATGAGACAAAATATGTGCAGTATGAACTTAGATTTACAGTAGTGACCACTGATCATGGCATGATCACAATCTGTCTTCATAGTTAATAAATAACATGACTGAGGCCAAATAGCAAGGGTAGCTAAGTGAAACAGTAACAAATAATTATTTGTCACTATCTATTTTGGATTTATTATAATAAATCCAAAATAGATAGTCAGACTAAGGGATAGGGCTAGGCAAAGAATAGAATGCAAACAAGGGGAACCTGCCTGAGGTGAGTATATTAACAAGAAACAAGGCCAAAAAAGAAATTTAGAATCAACATCACAAGACTCAACACAGTACTCACCTCGTGGCCCCAAACCACAGCATACTTGTCGAGCTACCTTCAAACTGCAGCTGTTAGAGCCTGTTGCAGTTTACAAGCCAAATCATGGATGAATTTTCAGTACTCCTCAGTGGGCTTGCAGCTCAAATGGAAGGTAAGGAAAGGGGCAGGCAGGAACATCCAGCTAGGAAGAGTGGGAGAAGAGCACAGGATGTACAGGAAGGCAACTGCAGGATGTTCTATAGAATAATATACGCTGGGCTGGGAATGCTTCGCTCAGTATCACAGGCCCTTCAGTCACCAAACTCGAATGGTTCTGAATTAGTGCAGTCAGGTTGGAAACCAATGCTGTAGAGTAATGTCTCTTACCTTTAGATTCTACTATTAGCTATGATTAAACATTTGTTTTTCAGTATGTTATGAATTTTTGTTACATTGTTTCAGGAATGGGTGCACCAATTGCGGGAGTTGCCCCAATATTTGCAATTAGCTTCATGGGATTTGGAGTTGGAAAACGAATGCAAATGAAGTCTCCTGATGACGAATTGACTCTGACACAGCTGTTTCTTGCTGGGGCCTTCTCAGGAATCTTTACTACTTCTATAATGGCCCCAGGAGAACGTATTAAGTGTTTGCTTCAGGTATGCAAATGTGTCAGTAAATGTACAGTTTTAATCCTTAGCCCCCTTCAGTGCCAGAGTACTTCTGGTTGGCACCACTATGCAATAAGCATGTGTGAGACTCAATTTATTTTTCACTCTCTTGACCTCTTTTGCTTTATATGTCACGGTCTAATGTCTAAAGGGATTTGGTATCAGTTTGCTCAAATACATAGAAGCCAGGTTTCTTCCCCCTCTTTTAAGAGCTGTGAAACTATGGATTATCATGAATTTAGATGATAAATACATATATGTTTTTAATATGGTAAAGCTCTCGGGCCATGAAGGCCAATAGGGTTGTGAGACTTTGAGGCTCCCACATTTTCTGTAGACAGTCACCTCACAGATGGTGGTAAGGTTGTCAGCCTTATGCACTGGCCACCCTTTACCCCCCCCCCAGGAATATTCCTGATACACATTTTTGTTAGAGGCTGAATCGACTCCAGGGCCATCTTTGAGCCGATTGTCTAGATAATGTGGGACCCTCAACGTCTCACAACCCTATGGGCCTTCACGGCCTGTTACAGGGATAGCTTTACTTTTTTTTTACTTTTATTAATATTAATTTATCATGTAACCACACATATTGAAAACTCATTAATATGCTAATTCAGTGTACCTAATTTCTGGTTGGTATTTCACAATTTTATAAGCTACAGGTATGAATAATTTGTAATTCAGACATTATTTAGTCCTGCAGACATTAAGACATGATTCATTTAAAACTCTGATCTTGTAGAAAGACAGTTTGTGGATATTACTACTGTTTAACAATAAAGGCATTGTCAATAGATCTTCATTACATCTTTGAACTGTGATTTTACATATTCTGCCATTTGTTCCAAGTGTCTGATCTAGACTAGCATCAATCTGAAATGTGATAGGGCATTACTGAGAACAGAAGTGTTTTCGCAGCTTACTGCAATGTTGACACTGTGAACAGAACTGCAGCAGCTAGTGTGAGCCATCTGCAGTGAAATTTATATAATTGAATCCTACATAAAATTTGAGGTTTTCATGGTGGTGAAAGTTTAAATTATGGTCTCTTGGGTTATGACATCATGTAGTGTTATAGGTGGTTACCAGAGTTTTGGAAGAACTGCTGCCTCCATCTTCAGGGTGGAAACAATCTAATTGAAACCTATTTATTTCAGAGCCTAAAAATTTAATACCTTGTGCTTCAGCTTAAAGAAGTTCCTAAAGGAAATTTATAAATGTTTCTTTGATAAGAAATATGATGTATTCCACCCAACACACTAATGATTATGTAATATTATCTAATTCACACCTTAGTTAGTTAGTTATTTAGAGAGGGTGGGTTTCCCCATGCACCACAACCAGTTTGATCTATTGTGCTTCCCTCTATGATATTCTGCCAGTCTCTATACCGTACCGATAAATGGTGCGTACCATCAGTCCCGCCGAGCAAGCAAGTTCGGTCACTTGCTTACCGGTGTCTATAATGCTTCCCCCATCTATCAGAGGCCTTAGAGACTATTGTTGGGCGGGAAACGTCCTGGAATTTGGCTCAGTGATCCCCTTTGGGGATATGAGGTTCTTTTACGTGCCGTAAAGTTACGACATGGGACACACAGCTTAAAGTCCCTCCCGGAGGACTTGTTCCCTGAATTTTTCCGCCCTTAAAAATTCGATGACCTCCGCCGGGTATTTGAACCCGCGTACCACGAGTCATGAGGTGGGAACGTTACCTCTAGACTACGGAGGCCACTTAATTCACACCTTACTTTCTCCATACATACAATTTATATTGGTGTAATGATACAGAAAGTCAATTGCATCCTCTTGACAACTGTGTTTAATGTTTAGTTTTGAACAAGGAGTTTTATGTGGCACAATTTGGATATGCATTCTCATTTATGATTCAGATTCAGCAAGGTGGTACTGCTCCTCCCAAATATGCTGGTCCAGTTGATGCTATAAAACAGCTGTACAAGGAAGGAGGAATTAGGAGCATTTATAAGGGAACCTTTGCCACCTTGCTGAGAGGTAAGTACCACTACTGGGTGTGGAAGGTCACAGATTGCATATCTGTTTCACAGTATGTGTATCTGTGAGTCAGAATCTGTTGTCATCTATTCACATTACGCATATTTGATGATAATATAACTTTCAGAATTTATGCTTCATCAAGTGGGAAATGTTAGAAATTTGTGAAAAGTATATAGAGAGTAATAGGGAAATGATCATAACGTTTTTTATAGATCTGTCCTGGTACTTGGCATGAAGCATTGAGGAAAACCAAGAAATACCTTAAAGTAACTAGACCAGGTTGAATTGAAACCTCCTAAACATATGGTCCCTATTCACTGGCAAGTTTCAGTAATTTAACACCTCATGAAATATCCACATCCACCTTATTTGATGCATTATTTGCAATATTTATGCTTGTCTGTCATAAAAGGGGGCCACGCAGTAGCGTAGTTGGTTGAGGGGCTATGCTACAAGCCAGAAGGTCGCGGGTTTAAGTCCCGATGAGGTCATTGGATTTTTTTCAGTTGACCTAATCCTTCCAGCCGCACTTTGGCCCTGAGGTCGACCCAGTACTAGGAATTAAATAATTTTTCTGGGGAGTAAAGCGTGGCCGGTGTGTAAGGCTGAGAACCTTACTGCTGTCTTTGTGCCGATTGTCTAGATAATGTGGGCCCCTCACTGTCGTACAGCCCTATGGGCCTTCATGGCCTGTTACAGGGATAGCTTAACTTTACTTACTTACTGTCTTAAGAGTCTCACAGTCTAGGATATACAAGGTGTAAATAAATATATATTACAATGTTCTGTGGTAGATAGATGGGTTCAATCTCATCATATGTACATTAGATGTAAATAATTTACACTCTGTTTGAAAGAATATTAATGAATTGTTCAGTTGATGCTATATAGTCTGGATACTAACAGTGTCTTGAAATAAACCGCAAAGAAAAGGGATCCTTTGGACAACACTTTGTGCCATACTAGTCTTCAGGCTTTCAATATGTTTAATTTTTAATTACTTCCATTTATGGATGATGGCACGTTGCTGTGGTGGGCTGGCTTGCTGGTGCTTTAGATATTTAAATCAGAGCGAATAAACAATGAAGTTCTCTGAAACAATGATACACCAGTCCACTGTCATGTAAAAATGGAAAGAAGTGGTGTTCATCCCTCTATTGCCGCTGCTCTAGAAATCAAATAATCATAATAAAGGAACAGCAGACAAACTGATTTTAAATTGAACTCCGTTTTATATATTTAATATTATTTTTCAAGTACAATCTTACTTTCTCTTACATAATTTTTGTGAACACTGGAATGTGTTCCATATTGTTGTGAGTAGCCTAATTAACTCAACAAGTTTTTGTACTGTGTTATGCCCAGACTTGGGAAATGTTTGTCTCAGTATCATCTGCAAATTTTGGCTTAAGAATGTCCCTAAAAGGACAGTCAGTACCCAACAGTTTTCATCCTGTTGTTATCATGACATGTTGCCCTCCGTGTATGTCTTAATTGCTGGAATCAAATCGGTCCAAGGAAATGTGTTATTCATTACGAACAAAGGAATGATGGATGTGCTGTAGATTGGCCAATGAGTAGAGCAGAAGCTCAGTGTGCTTCCCAGAACCATTATGTTTGAAATGTTTAAAAATCAAGGCCACTTGATGGTACCAGTATATTTACCCAGTTGAAGAACCACAATATACTTCAATCAGGAATTGAATTGTGGGCATTCCATATACTTGGTAGGAGTGGTAACTACTACTTCGTTATATTTAGAAAGACTGATGAGGAAAGTAAATAAGCAAGCTACTCATATAATACAAGCCTTCTACAACTATTCTAATCGAGTCTGTATTTATAAATTAGATTTTCATATAATATAATTATGGTAATATTTACCAAGAGTAATGTAATCCAGTTTTAATGGAGTATGTCACTCTGTAGATATGTTATGTTTTATGCTGGTTTTTAACAAGGAACATCAATGATCTGATCACCAACTTTTTGGGTGAAGTCAAGTGACTGTATGTCCTTGGCATTCTCATAAGTAATTTTATTATTTTTAGGATTTTAAATTTTCTAAAGAAGATTGCTTGTCTAAGACAAACTGATTTTTATGGACCAAAGCTTTCAAGTCTGTGGGGATTTCACTTGCACCAAAATGGTTGCCAAAATGGAATGAACTGCGTGTCTGGTGTAAACAGATGTACTGTTTCAGTTTCTTCAGTTCCCTGAAAGGAACTAATTCTCCCTATACTATGAAGTATGTAGTTCTTGTACTATACAACAGGTTTACATTTTGAAGATAAAATAATAATTTGCCAAGCCACATTTTGTCTAGCTCACATTTTAATTTGACCTGGAATATTCCAGAGTGCTGAGTTGAGGTTCTCTAGAAATAATTATTAGTGTTCAGTATACCATTCTCTATGTTTACTCTGTGAACATGCATATGACATAGTTCTTGCTTCAGAGTTGTTTGATTTTTGTGTTTCAGCATTTCATAACTTAATTTCAAATTATGTTTGTCATACTCGCAAAATGCTGGTCAAATACAATACAGATTTTTCTGTACCAATTTTGTTAGTTTAAATTCATCCTATTAGTGTCCACTTTATTTTTACTGCAGATATTTTCTTTCCAGTTGGCGGTTAAAACACATATAATCAGTTAAACCTTTTTGTTTCCTGAGTCATGTATGCTTCGTACTGCACACAGCTACACTTTAGAGGTTGTGCTGTTAATTTTGAGCTTGAAATCTTTTCAACCTTTGCTGACGCTTTCTCTCCTGTTCTAATTTCCATGCTTTCTTGGATAGTTTTATTTGCTTACCATTTTCTTCATGCAGGAAATAATTGGTTTCAGTTTGCTTCATTTTTTGCTTGGCAGCTGCTTTCTCCTTCATTTCTCTCAGTAGCTCCATTTTCTGCTTTTCCTTCTTGCTTGTAGGATTAACATCTTTATTGTCAAGCACATTGTGTGTTGAAGTGGTTACTGTTGTTCTGTCTGCCTCATTTGTGATATTTGCATCATATTTGCTTGTTGTGACATGTGGCTGATTAATGTATGTCTCATTATCTAAAATGAGATTGTAATTGCGATCATCTATGCTTTGTGAAGTTGGAGTACTGTGATTGTAGACTGAAGGCACCTGCGTTGTTGATGTTATATCTCCATCATCTGTAACTTCTGACTCACTTCTTTCATCCTCTGGTGTTTGTTCATTCTTCCTAAGTTCAGTAGTGGATGGCATAGCTTTCTTTATTTCAGTGAATATTGTCGTAGTTGGAACTTCATGAATTTGTGTTTGGGTTGAATTTTGTTTTACTTTAGCATTCCCAGGTGAATTTCCTGTAACCACTGATTTCTGGTTCACATTTGGCTTAGTGGTATTCTGAGGATAATATGTATAGAGTGTTTTATTTCCTACATATGTAGGTTTAATGCTTTTTTCATAGTCCTCATACTTTTGCTTCAAGTAGGCCTTTCTGTCCATCTTGATGTGTTGCTTCCTGTTGCATCTGAGCTCTTTGTGGAGCACTTCAAATACACTCCAGTTCTTGAATTTGGATGGTGTGGTGCACTGTGGTGCCACTCGCTTGTCATAGACATAACGATCGGAAGTCTGAGTACGGTTACACATGCTACCTTTGTCATAATGAAATTGACAGAAGTTGAGCTGACTTTTCTGTTTGACTTTGTTGATAACAGCTGGTTGCCAGTCCTTCATAGTGCATGTGCAGTGCCATGGGTTACCGTCAAGGCGTACCATCTTAGCTGGAATATTTGACAGAAGTCCAGGGGGAAGTCTGTTAAGCTTATTGTTATGTAGGAGCAGTTCTCGGAGTGAAAACTGTTGATCGAATAAGCCTGGCGGGAGTGACTCAAGAAGATTATGTGATAGGTCCAGGTAAAGCAAACCATAAAGCCCATAGAAAGCATCCATGGAAATTGAATGGATGTTGCAATGATGCAGTACTAGGTTTTCAAGCTTGGGAACTTCAAGGAAGGCATCAAATGACAAACCTTCAATGGTTCCAGTTATTTTCAATTCTTTCAACTTTGGCATTCCTCTCAGCACTTCTCTCTCCATCTTTGGAATGCTGACATTGTAGATGTTCAGCTGTTTGAGATTTATAAGGCCAAGGAAAGAGTTTGGTTGGATGCTAAGTGCTGATTCTTTCCCTCCAATATTCAAGATTGAAGTGGCATTCATGATTTCAAATGTACTGGGAAATACAGACTCTATAGGATTGTGCCTGAAGTCAGCTATGCGTAACTTGGGGAAAGGTGGAAGGGATAATTCAGAGAGGTGTGAAAAATTGTTATGAGAGAGATCTAGTTTATCTAGCTCAAACAAGCCAGCCAGACTGGTGCTTTGTAGACTTAGTAGCTGGTTGTGTGCTAATGACAATGTACGCAGATTTGGAACACCCAGGAAAGCAAAATCTGGGATGAACAAAAGATGATTCCTTTCCATCAAGAGATAATGCAAGTTATGCAGACCATCAAACATTGCCCAATCTATTTCATTTAATCCACACCCAAACACTCTTATAAACTCCAGATTTACGAGGCCGGTGAAGACTGATAGACCTGCCTGCTCCTGCTGTTCAACATATACTTTATAAGGGAGGATATCTCTGTCCCCATCTACAGGTGGGAGGAATACAAGGCGATGCATGCCAGACCCATGGTCTCCCTTGTGTTTTATCTTCTTCGAAGTTGGCTGCATGGCAGTATTGACTGAAATTTCATTTGAAATTGGTTCAAGTGGAATAACTGCTGGAGAAGCATGATTTCCCTGTCCTGGGTAGCCCACTAATTTTATGTGCTGAAGGTTGAGGTACTTGAGTGATGACAGTGGATGAAGGGCATCATTTTTCAACACCAGTTTGCTTTGTTCAGACTCTGCTTGTATTCTTGGGAGCTCATTTTGTGAATAATTACTTGCTTCATGGTGAAAGCCATGGATTTCTAGAACTTGTAGTTGTTGGAAATGGGACATATGTTCAGCTTCTAAAGTGATCTCCCCTGAGTCTCGGGCCTGAAGGATTATCAGGGCCTGGAAACAATAAACTTTGACTATGAAATATGAATATAGAATATACAGAGGAAACTGAGTGGTTCATAACATAGTGGAAGTCGAAACAACAGAAAATAATAATAGATTTGTATCTGTCGTATCTGTGTCCGCTTAAGTACTTGGCATGCTTTGTATTGTATTATTTTGCACTAATGACATCTGTCTATAATAATTTCAAGCAGTTTGTAAATTGTGTTTTTGAGCTGTAATGTTCTGTGCAATTACCTGAACATCTGGGAAGAGCATACTAAGAAGCGAGAAAGGCTCGGTGCCCAACTGGAACACACACATTGCCATTTTCAGGACATTGTTCTCATTTTCAGATGTTCGCTCAACATCTTCATACGTTACCTGGTTTGGAAAGAGATGCGACACATGAATGATTTAATTTATATCTATAAACATGGAATTTCTACTTAAGGCAGATCTATCTTGCTTAGTAAGCTTTTGTTTAATTTCTTCCATAGGTATATTATGAGTATTTGTTTCTGTATCTGTCTCATACCTTTGCTTCAAGCCTTTTACAACAGATTCTGGTTATTAAGAAGTGACTTTGCCAGTCATTGCCATCAGCTCCAGATGCTTTGTATAAAACTTATGGAATGCCAAACTTCTGTACGAACATTAAGATAAGCATAAAATTTCCATCAAGTTTATACAGTTTTCAGTGATTAAATAATCTTACAGCTCAGCATGGTTTGGCCTTTGGCCATGCCATAGCTCAAGTGGTTAGTTGCTGACTTCCCACCGCAGTGGCCCGGGTTCGATCCCGGGTCTGGTCAAGTGGGATTTCTGGTGGACAAAGTGGCACTAGGGCTGGTTTTCTCCGATTACTTCGGTTTCCCCTGCCAATCTTCTTTCCACCAAATTCACCTTAATCATAATCACCTGGGGCAGGCTACAATAGGCCAATCAGTGGTCGCTGTGCCGAGTGGACCCAGTTAGACTCCACCCCCCATTAAGAGAATTAAAAAAAAATGTTTTGGCCTTAATTGGCCATCTTCTTGGTCAACCAATACTAAAGGAAACCTTACATAATTTACAAAACATATTTTAAAATATCTCACTGGTTTAACTTAAAGCTAAATCATCAAACTGTTTAAGATTAGTAATATGCTGAAGTCAGTGATGGACAGAGGTAGATGCTTTTTAAACAGTCTTATCAGTATAATGCCAATGGTTGTGTTATGTATGATACGCTCATATTTGTCTTTAGAATTCCTATTTGTGGGTATCTTGTGGTACCCCTGTAGTGGTTTTTTATTCATGGAAATACTGAAATGTTTTAAATTAGAGTCAGATAAACCACCACAAGGATGCTGCAGAACACTGTTGAAAGGATTTTGCTATCTTAAGAATAGACTGTACTAGGTTGAGCCATTCATAAAATTACGAGTATTAAAAGTGATTTTAAGACTGCATAAAGTAATGTTGTACATGTGGTGAATGATATGTCTAGAACCCCAGAAATATTTGAATTGTAATTTTAGGTTTACTTGGTGCATCAGCATTGAAGAAGAAGGAAGACTAATATATTTTAATCTGAATTTAAGCCTCTATGCTCCATTGGCACATGGCAGTATACAGTGGAAGCTCCACTTAATGATCCTGAATTCAAAATTTTCCCCGATCCCAAGTCAGTAATCTCAGTTTTAAATTTCCTCTATTTAAGATTTTGCTCAGTTTAATGTTCAAATCCACTGGTCCCCAAAGAAACCTTGAATAGTAGTTTCACTGTAATTGGTTTATGATGAGGTCATTGGATTTTTTCAGTTGACCTAATCCTACCAGCTGCACTAGGCCCTGGGGTTTAGTCAGCCTCTAACAGAAATGAGTACCAGGAATGAATTAAATAATTTTCCTGGGGTGTAAAGCGCGACTGGCGTGTAAGGCTGACAACCTTACCGCCATCTTTGAGCCGATTGTCTAGATAGTGTGGGACCCTCAACGTCTCACAACCCTATGGGCCTTCACGGCCTGGTACAGGGATAGCTTTACTTTACTTACATATTATTAGATGGTAAAGTGAGGGAGTTTTAATCATTTCTTGCATCCTGTTGTGTGTTTAATTAATACTAGAGTGAATTTACCGAATACACAACACGTTTTTTATTATCACTACATGTTTCGACCTCAAGAGGTCATCCTCAGGTGTATGAACATGGCTGTATAATTACACGCGGTCACATTCACTTTTCATTCATTCGATCCTGTATGTTATACAGATTTACGCTCACTAATATATCGAGTTCTTTTTATAAAACACAGGTTAAAATTATTATTCTAATTTAATTGTTAAAAGTTAAAAGTTCGTGAATCGAAGTTCAAGTCATGTCACTGGTTACACTTCACTGATATACGATGGGGTACCCAAAAGAAACCGAACTAATTTTTTTGTGGGTAGAGCTTTTGTAGTACCTCGTTTTGCCGCTATGAGCGCATAGAGCTAACATTCCTGAGTCGATAAGCCAACTACCGTTGCTTCAGAAGGTAAGGACTAGTTTCGGCAGAGTTTATAGTGACAACTGTTTTGTGTGATCGTCGTTTTTGCAATGGCTGATTTTCGTGAACAGCGTGCGGTAGTGAAATTCTGCTTTTTGCTCGGGAAAAGTGGAACAGAAACTCTTGAAATGTTAAAAACGGCGTACAATGACGATGCTATGGGGAAAACTCAAGTGTTTGAGTGGTTTTCCCGTTTCAAAAATGGTGAAATGTCAATTGATGACAAACCTCGTTCTGGTCGTCCTTCCACGGCCCGAACACATGAAAATGTTGAAAAAATTCGTGAAATCATCAAGGAAGATCGACGACGGACCATTGAAGAAATTGTGGAGCTGTCGGGAGTGACTTGGAGCTCAGCGGCCAGATTTGTGGCAGTCGGGTGACTGGTTTTTCCATCATGACAATGCCCCTGCTCACACAGCCCCGTCTGTACGACAGTTCTTGACCAAAAATGTCATGACCCCTGTTCCTCACCCTCCATACTCACCCGACCTTGCCCCGTGCGACTTTTATTTGTTTCCTCGAATGAAAAGAGGCATGAAAGGAAAAAACAATGGAGGTGCTGTCAAGCATCTCAAAAGATAAATTTACACAATGTTTTGAAAAATGGAATAAAAGACTAGACAAGTGTATTAGTGTAAGTGGAGAGTACTTTGAAGGGGATTGAAGGTTTGTGCTTAAAATTTGAATAAATAAGTTTAAAAAAATTAAGTTCAGTTTCTTTTGGGTACCCCCTCGTATGGTGTGGTAGAGAAGAAACTAAAGAAACAAGGTATGTTTATGGTGTGAGATCTGACCATAAACATGATGGCTGAAGGAACTTATGCCATGTAGTACTTTATTTGAATGAAATATGGAAGTATGACAGCTCTTAATGAAATTGTAATTAAGTATATGTAATTAATCAATTACTGATGAATTACTTACGTCATTATTGAAATGAGAAGGCACTTCTGGGATGTCATTCTTCAAAGAAGTTCCATCTTGTAGAAAACGGTATAAAGGTAATTCCGAGAAGTGACTTTCATGGCAGGTGCAAGCTGGAGGACATTGATGGCTCCATTGTTCATCTCTGCAAATAACCTGCAACAAGCTGACCAGTCATGAAGAATTCTCAGTTCCCCTGTTTGGTTCTACAGGGAGGTTCTCAGCTGTCATGAAATATTTACATGGTGCTATGGCATGAACAGCATGTTCACTGGATTATTTAATACACTATTAATTACATTGGTTATTTATTGTTAATAACACTGATAATAGATGCAGTCTTGAAATTGGTAAAATTAACCCTTTCCAGTCATCATGTGTAGAAAAATATCTGCAGCCAGATCATCAGCGTTTTGTAAATGCCTGCTGAGCCACTAAGTGAAGTGTTTTGTCCGAAAATTTGGCGCAAAAAGGGCATAAGTTTAAAAAAACTAATTTGTACGTACATTTTTGATTGTCTAATTCTTGGGCCAACTCAACACTGCTATATCTGTCTGTCAAATGGCGATAGTCTTCAATACCAGAGACACTGAGTCATAGTCTGTCCATCAAAGAAAGAACTGTTCTTGAAATGAACGTCTTTTTTTTTTTCAGAGTATGGTAAGTTACACATGTCGCCTGTAAGTTTTCTGTAATTTGGAATTGTACTGTGATTGTAATCAATGTAACCAATTCATCTATTCTGTGTTAAGATTTTTTAATGAAAACTTTACAGTAAATATTTAATGAGCTGTGTTTCAGTTCTTGGGCCAGGGGTCTGCTTTTTTTTTTTACTCAGGTTTTAAGTGTTTTTCCTAATTCTCTTCCTCCATATACTGCATTGCATGCTGCAATGGGCTATGGCCACATCTTTACCTATTAATAGTTCACAAGTGATGTTCATTGACACTTTACAACCTAAGCAGTTCATAAAGTATCATTAAATAACCTTTAGATGAGCCACTTTCTTGTAAATATTTTTAAGCCACTCACCAGAAATGGAAGTTGCAAGACAAGGAGCAGAAGAACAGTCATTGTGCTGTCAGACATGCCTTGATGCTTCATGGTGACCTGCAGGCTTAAACTGAATATTCTGTCCATAATGGAAGATATAACAAACAGACAGGAAGGCATCATGAGGGTGGGGTGGGGGAGGGAAGTTTGGGAGATATTCTATCACTTCCTGGGAGCTACAACCCACTCTTTCCCATAGCATCTTGCTGTGTTTGCTTATCAGGGTTGCTGGCTTCTATGAGAAGATTGTTATAATTATATGATTTCAGTGTGCTTGTTAAAAATTCATAACTGAAAATTCCTTTAAACATATGTGCAGTAAGTATACTGCATATTAGTATATATATATAAGTATAATATACTGTACCATGAATCCACATTAAAGATAATACATATTAGCAATGATTATGAAAAAGATTAATTTTGAGAAGAATATTTTGTCCTGGGATGAAATGCTGTGTAGTCTTGCAGAGTTAGTTTTACTGACATTTTGAAGGAACGTGCTGCCTCCATCTGTGGGGTCAAAGACCAAGCCCAGCATGCAAACTCTGCTTGCTGGGCTTACTTCCTTTTGCCCCTGATGATGGGGGCATTTTTATTCTGAAATATCAGTGAACTACCAGACTACACAGCACCACAGACCAGAAGACAGTAACCCCCATGAGAGCCTCATATCAGTACCATAAAGACAATACAGTTCTGTCCTGTTCTGAAAGCATTTTTGTATACTAACATAAAGTACCAAATTTTGTGATGTACTGTTATCATTCTGATCCTTAGCTGTTTATGGCCATAGTGTGGCTGGAAGGATTAGGTCAACTGAAAAAATCCACCTCATTGGGACTCTAACCCGCAACCTTCCGGCTTGTAGCATAGCGCCTCAACCAACTACGCTACCGCATGCCCCATTTATACAATTACCTTAACCCTAATACTGTTCATGACTGAAATTAGTGAAACTGGGAATTTGAAAGTTGACAATAGCAGCAGGTATCAGAAATCAGTCCATATTTTAACAGATCTGATCAGGATAATGGATAATGTCCAGGAAGTCAGTAATTGTAAATTTTGTAAATGATATAAACTCCGTCTCAAGTGCAAACAATATATTTTGTGTCTTTCATCTTGCAAGATCAAAGACACAAAATATATTGTTTGCACTTGAGACGGAGTTTATATCATTTATCGTATGGAGTGCAACAGGATGCTTAAATATAGTATTGTAAATTTTGTAAGCCAACATGACCGCCTCTGTGATCTGGCAGTCACGAGTTTCGGCGTACAGATCCAGAGGTCCCGGGTTCGATTCCCAGCGCTACCAGATTTTCTGAGAAGTAGTGGGTCTGGAACGGGGTCCACTCAGCCTCGTGAGGATAATTGAGGAGGTCTAGAAAACCGAGATAACGGCCGTGGGGATCTGTTATGCTGACCACGTGACACCTTCTGTCCGCAAAAGTTGGCACTAACTTCGCCTACAAGCAGCGGTATCTCGGTCGGTATAGTTTGCTTGCGGAATACAGTCCACAGAGTTTTGTCAGCCAACACAGTTTGGTAATTTCTCCCATGCGAATTCCTCTTTTGAGAAAGGAGGTTAGCAACTTATAAGTAAGGTCTGTATGTTCTGGCAGACCCTTCATGGATGTCTGTGATGTTATTTCTGGTGTACAATTATTGTTCCATAAATGGCCCTAGTGGTAAGCAAGTACTGTATAACATGAGTACTTTCACTCTGCATTGGTGTTTCTGGATTTGATTGTTGGTTTGGTTTGGTGCATTAATTTTCACTTCCTTTTCTGTCTTACAGCTCCTCTATGCAATGCCACAATTTTCATTGTAAATTTTCCAGTTATCTCCCATTGATAAAACCTCATCTAATATGCATGTGTACATGTAGTAATAGAGACAGTTGTCCTGTGATTGAGATTAGGTCTTTCTAACAGATGTAGCAGAGTGGTTGCCTACCGTCCTTCCGCATGAAGTGGAAACAGATTGGTTTAAGAAATTTTGTGTTCTTTGTAGTACTCGGAGGATGGGTGAAGTCCAAAACCTCGGTAATCCCAAGTGCTATGTGAGAAACTTATAAAATCAATTTGGTCCTACTTGTTTGCTGCAGAGAAGATTAATTCAATTTTTGCAGTAAATAAATAACGTATATGCTTTCTGCATATACGTTACAATGCAGAACTTAGTTAAGATATTTTCCACATTTAAGGTTAATGTAGTCAAGTTGTAACTAAGTTAAACTGTTACATATTCTGAGAAACAAACAGCTATATATGAACCCACTTTTATGCTCGGTTAATAATCAGTTAATATTTGATTATATTATGTTTCACAGATGTGCCAGCTAGCGGCATGTACTTCATGACGTATGAATTAGTTCAGAGAATCCTTACACAGCATTCAAAAAGTGGTGAGATAGGAGTCGTGAGCACTGTCTTTGCAGGAGGAAGTGCTGGCATTGCTAACTGGCTGGTGGCAATGCCTGCAGATGTGCTCAAGAGTAGGCTGCAGACAGGTAGGTGTATATGCTATGAAGTACTAGGTGATTAACTGATCTTTTGTGATAGCTATTTAAATTGAAATATAATACTTGTTTTAGCTCCAGAAGGCACATTTCCTAATGGGATCCGAGATGTCTTCAAAGTCTTGATGAAAGAAGAAGGACCTGTAGCTCTGTACAAGGGAGTGGTTCCTGTAATGTTACGAGCCTTTCCTGCTAATGCAGCTTGTTTTATAGGTTTTGAGTTATGCATGAAGTTTCTAAATTTTGTGGCACCTAACTATTGACCTTGACGGAGGCCTTATAAATATAATTGCTCATTGCCTTCTTCATTATCATTGGAATTTGGCATTCTCTCAGTTGGCTGCCATTGCTGTTCCATAGCATGTCGATCATGAGAACTCTAGAGGGATTCAGTGCACTAGGTTCCCCACAGTAAAGAATTAAGGAAAGGAAATTGCCTTCTGAACTTTATTCTGTAATTTTACAAAATATTCCAGTACGTCCAGATGTATATAATCAGCATTTCATCACATTACCAATAGAGGCACAGCAAGGGAGGAATAATATTTTTTTAATTCACATGTATGACTGTGTTATGTATAACAAATATATATTTTAAATACTTAAAGTCACATACAAATTCCAGTATCAAGAACTGGGGCAATAAAAGAATTGGCATGTATTTGATCTAGTGAATATGGTCTTGTTTTTGTCTAATGAGGTGTTATGTCTGGTATCCCTCTTCAGACATTTGACAAGGATGCAAAAGTAGCCTTATTCTTAGAAACAGGATCTGACACTGATTTTTTTTTTTAAGGGGGGTCTGTAATTGCTTAATATTTGCTTGCTTCATTAAAGTTGGTCATTGAATTGTAACTTGTGAATCCCTCTGGAATATATACACAGAACTGCAAAAATATTAATTTTATAATTCATTGTTGATACTTTATCACTGCATACAACCAAAGATCAGATAAGGTCTTCCACATATCAGTTCATATACCTTAGTTGGTATACAGGCAAGAAAAGATGTTGCTAATCTGTGATTGGATGGAACTTCTATTCTAATCTGTAAAACACAGTGTGGAGTTCTAGTGAGTGGTTTGTAAACTTTCTGAAATGTAAATATTTTGAACCTCTCACAGTTACCATTTACAGCAGGTTGATGCTTCGTTTCATGTATGCAGAAAAAAAACTGTGGCTTTAGTCCACAAGCAAACTATACCAACCGAGCGACCACCGCTTGTTGGTGGAGTTAGTGCCAACTTCAATGGATAGAAGGTGTTGTGTGGTCAATGCAGTGAATCCCCACAGCCGTTGCTTTCGACTTTCTAGACCAGAGCCACTACTTTTCCCTTCAAGTAGCTCCTCAGTTATTCTCACAAGGCTGAGTGGACCCCATTCCAGGCACACTACATCTCAGAAAATCTGGTAGCGCCGGGAATAGAACCCGGGACCTCTGGATCTGTAGCCAGGAACTCTGGCCACATAGGCAGTTGTTGTTTCATGTATGTAAGAGTGACGTATTGAAATCTTCCTGAATATGATATGGAAAACTTAATTTGAAAAATATGTGTATGTGTGCACAGGCATGGGGATGTTTTTTTTTTGGGNGGGGGGGGGTGCATCCATGTATGCCTGGACACGCATGTGCACAGACATTGACTTCCTCCAATATAAATTCCCCTAGAACTGTAACCAAGTAGGCTGGCTTCGTTTCAGCTGAAATACCAGGCAAACTAAACTGATTGCAGTTGTGAATGATAACATTTATGTAGTGTCTGTTGACTGACAGATTCATTTTGACTTTCCCTCTTGGGAGATATCATATTTCCAAGAAATACACCAACACTTCTGCCTACCAATGCTCACTGATTCACTATTCATAATTGTTCTTCATAAGCCTCAGTAAGTGTAGGATGTAATACTGCAGAATGGAAGTTGTAACTGCAGTATGCAGAAGACTGAGCATGTTTTATAAAATTGTGGCCTTTCTTCATGTTAATTGAGTGTTTTCATTTAGGATTCATTGCAGATACCTCAAAACCACAGCAGTTATTCTGCATTATTACAAAGAGACATCTTTTAAATCTAAATGAAAAGTAAGATTTTTTACTCTGAAAGTAGCATGTCACACTCATATTGTTTTAAAAAATTGTCAGTATATACAGATACCAGATTTACCAAGTTGTGCATAAGTAGTTTAATGATATGTGTAGTGCACTAATATGGAAATGTTCAAAAGTAGGAATCTTAGCCTTTTAGTATTTTGGTATTTCTGTAGGTCACTATAAGCAAACATGAACATGGTACCTTGTGGAAGGTTCTCAGGGGACCACAGTTTTTACACTAATCTTGAATTATATTGCAAGAACTCTTGAAGCTGTGTGATTTGTGATATTTTAAATGAAAACAAATGGAAAACAAAATGAATATTAGAGTAACATATTTTATGAAAATGTTTTTATGAATATGTAATTATAGTGTTTTGCCCAGAATGCTTGATTGTAATGACATGGTAATATGTCATAGATAAGACATACATCTTGGATTTAACAGTATCATTCTGAATTCAACACGTAGTTGAAAGAGTAATGTACGTGTTACAAGGTTTGGCATAACTCAATTTGCTGTGTACCTGTGCTGCTGGGGCATTCCGTTTAGATGAACTGACATGTTGAACTCAGAGATGTTCATGTTGAGTCTGTCATACTAAATCCAAGGGTATGTTTGTAATAACTTGTGTGGTTCATCAAGAGGGAGAAGAAATTAAGGATTACAGGCGAGTTGTGTGTCTGTAATAATGTTCCGGAACAGAGTTCATCAGTCTCTTTCAGCCATACTTCAGCATGACATCCAAGCTCATCCATATATATACAGTTTTCATTTCATGCATATACTGGGTGTCCCAGGAGGAATGTGCCAAACTTCGGGCGGGTGTTCCTTATGTTATGGTATGCCGATATAACCCAAAACACCTATGTCCAAAGTTGAACGGTTATGGAGATAATGGTCTGAGAAAAGTGTGGTCTTCTGGTGAGTCCATGCACTGTACCTGTCAGCTGGCATGTCTTATCTACGTTTGTCCTTGAGTGTGGTGATGGCAGCTCATGTTAGCCTGATACACCTGCATACCAGAACGCGCAGTTAGCAATGTTACATCAGCGCTTGCCATTCATGTGTCATGTATAGTTTGACATGGCGTGCAAGTTTTTTGTAGTTCAATTTAATGGCTTCATGTCACTCATAAGTTAGTTTGATGTTACGTACATTATTAACATTACAGAAACGACATATTCCTGCCAGTTTTAATATGTATTTTATAATCAACAAGTGTGTAACACTGGTCAAAGTTTCACACTTCTCTGGCCATTATCTCCATAACCATTCAACTTTGGACATAGGTGTTTTGGGTTATATCGGCATACTTTAACATAAGGAACACCCTCCCGAAGTTTGGCACATTCCTCCTGGGACATCCTGTATACATGCACAAATTCTGAAAATGAGAGTATATTAGGTAATTTATATGTTTTGTTTTTGAGTTAATTGGTAATGCTTTTTTCAACTGGTAGACTGTAAATTGCCCTCACTTTCAGTTTATCTATTTGCAGACATATATATACACTTTACTGTTCTTCAAGAAGGGCACAGACAGACTTTATGATAGGGTGTACATTTGTTCATAAACATGAGGTACATTGACAATTTTGGAGCTAACTACATGATAGCAGTAACCTTCAGTAGGTATAAGTAATGTGCAAAAAATATATGTAGAAATACATCTCAGGTTACAGAAACACCTATTTTGTCTGTTCTCATTATAAGGTAACTGTATCATAATAATAAAATAATTATATGACCAAAAGTAATTTTGAATAGTGATGGACAAATAAAGATTATTGACATAACTGAAACCATGATATGACAGCTATCTGTTTGTAATTTGGGACAAAATTTTAAGTTGTGATCTATATAAGATCTAGAAGTTTGTGACAATATTAATACAGTTGTATTTCTGGATATTAGCCATTATTCTTTTTTATTTAAAAAACACCGTTTTGGAGACTGGATTCTGTTTCTGCCTTCAGGTAGAAACCTGCTCAGCTGGGCCCAATCAATAGAGAAAACAGGACAATAGATAATGCACAAAATCACAATAATTGTACGAAATATCTAGTTTTGCAACAAGTTCTGAAATTCTTCTTTCATGTTTTCAGTCTGTTGGAATCCAGTATTATAGTGATGGAAGATTTATTGTGTCTTGAGTCAGTATATTGCAACATATGCTATATCTGACATGCACACATTTGCTTTGTAATTGCTTCTCCATTGTTGCTGGAAAATTAGAGTATTGATTTGAAACACTTTATCACGAGTTTCATTGTGTTTTTACTGTGTGAGAGTTGAGGTTCTCCTCATGCTGACTATGAAGATGAGTCTTCAGAACTGTAACTACTTGCCACTACTTCCCAGAAGACAGTATTAGTACCTTTATTAGCTTGTTCTAACAGACACTGTGACAAATGTTTTGGCTTTTCTGAGAAAATATCAGTCTTCTCTAGGTAGTCTTCACTGTTGTTTTCACATTCATCTGTGACTATGTCTGATGTTTACATTGGGCTCATACAATCTGGATGCTACTATAATCTGAGTTCCAAGTTGGAGCTTCATTGTCATTATTATACAGAAAAGAAATTTGTTTAATTTTACCCCTATCCAGAAAGATCAGAGTGCCAAAAATATTCAACATGCTGAACCAAAAATGTAAATAATTTATACTGATATATAACTTTCCACAGTCCCGCTCTCGCAGCTTCTGTTGGGACCATTTTTTGTGGAAGTGAAGGCCATCTAAACCTGCCACTGCACTCTTTCCTGAAGAGTGGGAAAATTTGGAGTTAGGCACTAGTGTATCCATGTTCATAAAGGATAAGTGAGATATGGGTGCTGGATTAGCTTAGTGGTTTCAAGGTCTCACTGGACTATGTAAAGGATGCAGCAGGAACAGTGTGAGTTACGGAGATGTTACTGTTGACAAGTATGGAATGTTGTAAGCTGACATCAGTCAGTATAATGCTGGAGTTGCTGCAAGATGTTTCCTGCCTTCCTATTTTGTTGTACATAAAACACTAATAACATCCTCACTATTTAATACATGTTCTGCTGCTGTGAAAACCATACAACGATGAATGAATATACATGACATTATCTTGATAATGGTATTTGAGGGTTGGGGGATTGCAGTAGAGGTTATCGCATTAGTGCCAAAGTATGAAATAAATATATTGTCACATGTTGGGTATGTAACACGACAAATAACTTCACGCCGTCAAGGATGTAGGGAATATTTATTGTGCTTCACTTCTACGCCCACACGCTACAATTATTATTACTTGCAGTATCACAGTCACTGCTTCCGCTATATCTTAGTGAATACTAGACTGCCTTCGGCGGCGACTCTCTTAAGACTGACTTCTGGTTCAATACTCAACTTCTGTTCAAGGCCGGACCCTTTTTCTAAGCTGCACACGGACCCAGTAGAGGACACCACTTGCCAACGTTTGATTTCACATGTTCAGCAATCTGTTGCTTCGGGAACCCTCATTACAGAATATGCCGGTAACGTGTTTCATCTCGTCCATTGTTATTCAACAGCAGTTCGTTGCTAGGGTTTTCCTATGCAAAGGCCTGTTGTTATTCATTTGTCACTGTGGGAACTCAACAATTTCCAAGTATTCATTGTCGCGGAAATAACACGTTACAATATATTGGTATTTCTTACTCTTCTTGAATTCATGTATTTTGTTCAGATACCCTCTTACTCTAAATGTCTAACTTATTGGACTCTGAGGGTTAATGTAATTCGTTTGCAAGGTGCATTGGGAATTTGAGGACTCTCTTCCCAGGCTTTCTAAAGTTAAAACATAA